GTAACTCGTACACTTGTTCTTCCGGTGACTTTAAGTGCGACATTGGTACATGTATTCCGAGTAGTTGGGTCTGTGATGGTGATGTAAGTTATTAACAAAAGTTTATTTTTCGTTCCACAAATACTCCTTGTCAAGAAATAACAAATACATATATATATATATATATATATATATATATATAATTTTATATGTATTATACATATATATTATTTATATATATTTAAGGTCGATTGCCATGATGGGTCAGACGAAAATCAAAAATGTATACAAACGTCTTGCGAGGACAATTTTTATACATGTAAGAATAACCATTGCATAGACAAATTGTTACTTTGCAATGGTCTCGATGATTGTGATGATAATTCTGATGAAGATCATTGCTCCCATGGGAAACAAATAACACCAGTGAATTGTAGTATGAACGAGTTTAGATGTCACGATACTAATATATGTCTTCCTAAAAGTAAAAGGTATCTTATGTAATTTTTCACTCGATAAATATATATTTTAATTTTTATCAAATTTATTTCATAAATAATAAAGGACAATAAATTGTCCTATATATTAATATTTTTGATTATTATTACTATTATTATTATTATTATTATTATTATTATTATTATTATTATTATTATTATTATTATATCAAAATCAAGCTATAATATTTCATTAGAATGATTTCAAATGATTAATAAAATCAGCAAAATGTATATATTTATCAAGTAAACAAATAATTTATTTTCGATTAAATGTTTATATATATTTTTTTGTTATTATAGATGTAATGGTCAACAGGATTGTCCAAAGAACGATGATGAACATGATTGTTCAAATTGTCAATATAATGAATACACCTGCGAGAATAATAAATGTATAACGCAAGAATGGGTATGCGATAAATATGATGATTGTGGTGATGGGTCTGATGAAAAGTATTGTAGCGGAGATAGCTTGAATATTAAGGGTATAGTCGTCAAGAATGATTGTAAAGAGTTTCGCTGTAACGACGGCCAGTGTCTTCCTTTTAGCAGAGTCTGCGATAAATATAAAGATTGTTCGGACGGCAGCGATGAGTTCAAAGAATGCAGTAAATATTTATCTTTAATTAAAGAACAAAACTATAGTATTTTTATATTATTTTAATTAAATATTGATCCGTGTGTGTGTGATATACAAATCTACTCATCATTAACATATATTCTAACATATATTTTTGTCTTCAGTGGAGGCATGCATGATAAACCATCCCTGTAAACATGTGTGTCACAAAACACCACTAGGTCCTGTTTGTACTTGTAATCCCGGATATCGTTTAGCTCCCGATGGAGTGAGTTGCGTCGATGTAAACGAATGCGAGGACGATATATGTTCTCAGATTTGTCATAATACTCAAGGCTCATTCATATGTTCTTGTGAAAGTGGATATATCTTACAACCGGACAAAATTTCTTGCAAAGCCACTGGTAAATTTAAGAAACAAAAAAATAATAGAAAGAATTCCTTTCTCCAACAATATTTCTTTCAGCAATGATACAAACTGAATAAAATAAATTCTAGGCTCACAAATGAAGATAATAACAGTTGCTGGATACGACGTGAAAAAAAGTACATTAACGTTGAACGAGATCGAGGTCATTCATCATGATCCAAATTTTGAGATTTTGGGGCTGGACATTAATATGAAAGAGAATGCTGTTTATTGGACTAACGGTATAATACAATAAAACGATTTTTAATATATATGCTGACTCACCTATATTATTTAATATTTAATCATTTTTATTTCACACTAAATTATAGTACAATTGTCTCTCTCTCTCTCTCTCTCTCTCTCTCTGTATGTATATATATATATATATGGTATGATCTCTAATCTACAGTTATACTTGGAACAATAACAAAAATAAACATCAAAACAAAAGAAAAAAAGATAGTCGATGTTGGAAGACCTGGAGCTATAGCAGTCGATTGGATAACAGATAATGTCTATTTCTACAGTGACAATCGTCCATATGCTATCAAAGTAAGGAATATGATTTGGGGAAAAAAATAAAAAAAAAATAAAAAAAAAAAACAACAACTAATGCGTTTTAACGTTGCTAACGTTGTCCAGGTGTGCAATTTGGAGGAAAGAAAGTGTGCAAAAGTTTTGACAATCAATGGAACTGGCAAAGTACAATCTATCAAAGTTGATCCAATCAAAGGGTATATAAAATAATTCTTTCCATAATATGAGATAAATAATAAAACAATTATCACGACAAAAAAGAATTGTTTATAATTAATTTATTAATTTTGTTTAATGATCAATCAGCTTGTTATTCTGGAGTCAAACTGATTGGCTGTTGCAAAGTGGACCAAAAAGTGAAATATATAGATCAAGTATGTCTGGTACAGACGTTACGGCAATAGTTATTCGAAATCTCGGCGTTGTTCAAAAACTAACGATAGATCATAGAAAGTCTCGATTATATTGGGGTGACACGCAATTAAATGTTATTGAATCATCAAACTTAGATGGTTCTGATCGTAAAATATTTGTAGAAACAGAGGTATTTACAATTTTTTAATAATATGTTTACATAACTGATTACAATTGATCATAACATAATGATTATTATAGTTTCAACCTTTGGATGTTGTCGTGTATGAAGATTCTCTTTTCTGGTTACTTTCTAATACAGGTAACATAAGGAAATGTAAATTGAATAGCAAGACTACTTGTATAACTATTGGTTCTCAAATTGTTACTAAACATTTCGCCATTTTTCATGACACAATACAACCATTAGGTAAAAATTGTATTAATAAACATTTTGATTCGTTAATAATTGAAATGTGAAATAATTGACTTATTTTATTATTTATAGTACGGAACAAATGTCAAGATCAAGAATGTCCTTATATGTGTCTACTGAACGAACAAAATTTTACATGTTTTTGTCAATATGGTAAACCAATAGATAATGATCTCGCATGTAAGAAAGATTCAAGACAACGATTGATTTCATCAATGTCGTTGGATGAACAAAATAAAACCAATAATCAAGACAAAGGAACGATAGCCGGCATAGCTATTTCATTGATCGCAGCGATCACCATTTTATCTGCTTATTATTACTATCAACAATTGAAAATAAATCGTAGGAAGAAAAACGATATGAGGTTTGTGCACACTTTCATGAAAAAACGTAACGTATAGTAAAAGATATAATAGATTCATTCATGCGATCATAAATAAAATATTGAAGATACTTCAATAAGACATGTAATATTTAATATCATTGAAATAATTCTTGAAATAATCGTTTTATTCCCACTATTTAATAATAACAATCGATATTGCAGTATTCATTTTCAAAATCCTTCCTATGATGAAAAAAATGAAATTCAGAATTCATTCAATTGTATGGTATCAGCTTTACCGCCTAGTGAACACGAATACAATCCAATAATTAATATATCAGCCAAGGTAAAAATTCGATATTATTTTTATTTAAAAAAAGAAAATTGATTTATTAACTAATTATCATTTCAGTTTGACGATCCGGAAAAGGAGAGACAGAAAATGATCCAAGTTCAATATTCAGACCATTCGGAAAGTGAAGTAGAAGATATACAATACTCACAAACTTCAAAACTATTACGTTAAAGTAAGAATAAAATAATGAAAAGAACAATCTTATCGATGAAGAAAGAGATTGAATTCCTTATTATTATTACTATTACTATTATTATTATTATTATTATTATTATTATTATTATTATTATTATTATTATTATTATTATTATTATATAGTATATACAGAATACTTTATATAACGTTACAGACTTTACAACGTTACAATATTTATTTATTATGTAAAGTCACTATAATATCCTTTTTATTATTATTATTTGTATTATTATGTCACAATTATTATTACAATCATATGAATTTCTTTTTCATATATTCACTTATTGAAAAATAATTTTATATGATATATATAAAATTATATAATATATATAATTTTATATGATAAGTAAGAAAAGAAAATTTTTATAACAAATAATATAGTAATTTTAAATAAAAATAGAAGTTAATAGGAAGCAAATAGAAAGGAATTTTATAAGAAATTCATCAATCTCTCTAATATGGAAAAATAAAATATTGGAATAAAATGCACAATGCTCTTTATTGCATTTATTGATTATATAAGTGTTGATAAGACTAGATCTTTGTCACTTCTATGAGCTAGCTCTATCGTTGATCAATTAAATCTAATTCAATTGGAAATTCTTCATTTTTGGGAAACCAGCTAATTATTCTTCTTCATAATTTATTTGAAAATAAATAATTTTGTAGAACTATGCAACTTAAAAACCATTACTAGTTTTTATTAACGAATATCACGCATTTAAAGACAAACACCCACAGACTGTTTATTCTAAACTATAACATTTTTCAAACACAAAGAAAGTAATAAAATCAATGAAACGTAGAGAAACATTCGAAGTAATCAATTACAATGAGACGCCATCTGTGATAAATTTCAATGATCATTTCTATGTAAAGTATATAATAACATTTGTAGTTCCTACCGCCATCTAGTAAAAAAATTTATATCAATATAAATCAATGATCTAATTAAATTTACAAATAATTTAAATGGAAGAAAAAAGAAATAAAAAGAAATGAATATGCGCAAATACAAATGAATTATAAAAAGGAGCAAAAAAAGATCGATCATCGATAGAAGATTCAAAATAGGCGGTATTACATAGACGGCAGTACAATCTTCGGTATCAAGGCGCTGCGTACACACTGCGCTCTGGTGACGTCTCGGACGAACAGTTCAGTCTTGTACGAGCAAAGCGATAGAAAAGATTCGTATGATCAGCTGTGAGTGGCGAGTAAAGTTCGCCTCGGTTATTTTCCAATTGATAAAGAAAACAATCTTTAGAAATATTAATTAATATAAGAAACGAATGGATTGAGGGAAAAAACTGTTAAGGTCGGTTCGACGAACCGTGAATTTCTGTGTATGGTGTATTATTCCTTTTTCTCCTTCCCTCTCTCTCTCTCTCTCTCTCTCTCTCTCGCTCTCTCTCTCGCTCTCTCTCTCGCTCTCTCTCTCTCTCTCTCTCGTTCTCCTTTGTGTGATTTTGTTTTTATAAAACTAATTTGAGAATTAAGAAAAACATAGAAAATAGAAGGAGAGAAAGAGACAAATGTGAAAAAAAAGAAAGTGATCGGTGTATTTAGTTTTTCGTCGTACGCCGCTTAGCTCAAATATTTTTCGTGAGGGCTAGCGAGGCATGACGGGAACAGGTGACAATAGAGGAACTTCGCCATGTTAGATTTCGCGAGATCGCGAAACGTGCGCCGCCTGCTGCTGCTGCTGCCACTAGTGGAGGAGAAGGAGAAGTGGCATCATACGGAAAGAGAGAGATAGAGGGAGAAAAAAAACCACGACATATATATATATACACACACACAATATTAAAGCAGCAGAGAGAGAAAAAGAGAGAGAGAGAGAGAGAAAGAGAGAGAGAGAGGGAGATAGTGAATTTATTTTGTTTTTCTCCGCTCTCCTTCGCGCTACTTTCACCCTCTCGACACTGTGATCCGCCTGAAAATCATCCAAGCTGGATAGGTTACCCGAGTATCTCCGCGATACCGTGGATTGGTTTATGGGGTAAGTTAGTTTTCAAACAAAAATGACAATGAAACTGCCTCTATCAACGTATATATACATATATCCTTCGACAGGAATTATTATCTTCGTTTATGTAGGAGAAAGTTTGCTAAAGGATAATGATGATGATGATGATGATAATAATGATGATGATGATGATGATGACGATGGTGATGATGGTGATGATGATCGATAAATGCATTTGAAGGTTATCCTTGACGAATGGCTTTCCTAACCTCTGTGTTTCTCTTCCATTTTTTTCATTGTTGTATTTTTGTATTTTCTTTTTGGAGAATTCCTCAAGGGAATTAATTGAGGAGATCAAGCAACGAGTTTTTGTCGAAATAATTTGAATATCCAAAATCGAATTTAACGTTTTCATAAATAATATGATCTCTGGAATAATCTATGAGAGAGTTCAGTATTGTGATAGCGCTCGGTGGATGAACTCGATATATCTTGGATTTTTTTCTGAGGTTAAAAGAGAAACAAAAAAAAATGTAAATCATATTTTCAACCGGAAAAATCAGCTATCTTTCTTTTATTATTATTATCAAGGCATATAATGAATTGTTTTTTTTTTCGTTCATCTCTTTTTTCGATTAAATTTGAATGGAAACTACTTCGGTGATCAACGTATATATATCACAAAGTATTTATTATCAAATATTTATACGTTTTTTTTCTTCTTTATCGGTGTTCTTGGATTTTGAGTTTCTTCGATATAAAAAGAACTGTATGTAAATAGAAAAGAAAACTTTGCGTTGTGATAAAGAGGATATATTTTATATAGCAGACTAGCAACGATGACGACGCAAAGTTAACGTGCAAAGGACAAAATGTTGAATATGTGCGCGAGCCTTCCTTTTCCTTGTCTCTCCCTTCCTCTTCTCGCTCTTGCCGAGTTATCGATGTATGTACGGACGGAAAAGCTATTTTGCTGTGTGTGTATGTGTGTGTGTGTGAGTATGTTACCTGTTAACGAACTTACGTAAACCTTTCGATCGCTTTTTCGTCAATAAATCTCACATTTTATCAGGATGGAAGATAAGAAGAAAAAATAAATTCAAGAAATTTTTTAATTCGCAATTGTTACATTGATTTTTGAAATGATGGAAATTACGGAAGGACGACGAACAATTTCGAAGATTTTCTAATAGAATAAGTTAATGCGTGTAACACTCCCGGAGCACAGAAAGTCACCTTAATCTCATTTCCGTCGAGTGTTATTATTGAATTACCAACAAAGCTTGTGCGAAAGTCTCTGTGTCATTGGATTAGCAGCATGCGCATCCTTAAGGTTGGCTTCCTTGAAAATTTTCCTTCGATTTTTCCATTTGATTTTTTTCTTTCGAAAACGACGTTGTATGTATGTATGTATGTATGTATGTATGTATGTATGTATGTATGTATGTATGTATGTATGTATGTATGCTGCCTGCCTGTCTGTCTGTCTGTCTGTCTGTCTGTATGTATGGATGTATGTATGTATGTATGTATGTATGTATGTATGTATGTATGTATATTACTTATCCGATCAATACTCAAATTCACATCAACTTATTCGACCTATAAATACAATAACTTTTTTATCATTAAACGAATTTCAGTTAAAATAATTTCGAATAGAGTAGGGTAGAGTGATTGTAGTTGTGTTGTTTTGTTTCGGCGCGAAATTCAAAAGAAAAGAAGCGCGCGAAAAATTTAACGTTGTTGAAATTTCGTATTTTTTGTTTTCTTTTTTATAAAGAGATAGACCTTCGAAAAGCGATTATTTCATTTCGTTACACCGTTGTCCTGGTCAAGGCGAATCTTTTATTGATTTAACGCCTTCGAGACATCGCCTCGTTGGACGAAAAAAGAAAGCTTCTTGTACATAGGTATACGTATAATACATATGTATGCATATGTAATAGATTCAAAGATTCTCAATCATGCTTTTGTTATAATTAAAGTATCATTCCAATATTATATACAACTATTATAAACTTTCTATATATAAATTTATTTCTAACAATATAATCTATATTCTAAAAGAAAAATAATATACATTATACGATAGAGAGTTGCATGGACCAGTTTCAGGGTCGACTATTTCGAGTGTTCTTCGATGTAACTGAATAATCGATAACTTCGAATGAAACTCGAATACGAATCGAACTATTAACTTCAAAATCGATCTATATATCGATTTTATTAATTGCTCGTATTACGTTTTATACAAGTTAATTTAAAATCGAGTGATAACATTAATAAATATATATGTAAAGTATTGGCTATATTTAAAGAGGACAACGAAAACGATGTATCATATCATTATTGCGAGACATTTTCTTCTGCAATATACGCGTGCGCAAGAAACCTATACGCATGCCCACGCACGCACACACACTCTTATTGTTTTTCTTTTCTTTTTCTCTTTATGTTCTTTTAACGAATATAATAAAAAAAATTGAGGAGAAAGAAAGAGTTTATTTTGTTAGAAAAATTTATCTCTTTTTACGCTATTGAAAGACAGAAAGTGAGAACAATCGATGGGTTCCCTGGTACGAAACCGAAGAGAACGATGACTCACATTCGAGTGGTCTTTCGCGGTGTGTGATCGAGGCTTCCTCGATGAATCACACGTGGCTCCTCTCTCTCTCTCTCTCTCTCTCTCTCTCTCTCTCTCTCTCTCTCTCTCTCTCTCTCTCTCTCTCTCTCTCTCTCTCTCTCTCTCTCTCTCTCTCTCTCTCTCTCTCTCTCTCTCTCTCTCTCTCTCTCTCTCTCTCTCTCTCTCTCTCTCTCTCTCTCTCTCTCTCTCTCTCTCTCTCTCTTTTAACACATACAGGTAGACAGAATTTATCCAAGAATAAAATTATAAAAATATTTTATTAACGAAAGAATTCTTATTTTATTCGTGATTGCTATAATTTTTAATTCGTCAATGTATTGCTTTAAAATTCAAAATACCAAGTAAATATCTAAAGTACAAAATAGCATAAAGTATACTCAACCGCGCACCTTTTTGCGATAAATTTTATCGCGGTTTTCTACTCGATGACGTAGACTTTACTAATATATTTTTGTGTGTGTGTTATCGTTCTTGGCTTGACATGTATTATTATCGATATTGTGATCGCTGTAATATCGGAAGTTTCGGTTTTGCTGTCTAACCTTATCTATCTATCTATCTATATATATATATATATATTGATTTGTAAGAGTAAATTGAAAAAAATGTCTTATTAAATGTGATCTGCCTTTCAGTCTAGGGAATACAAAACGACTTAAGTTGTCGTCACATTTCCGTGACATTCATAGCCGTCCTCATTATCTTCTTATGCGCTCATTTTTCACAAACCATGTATAATGTCGACTATTTTCTTGGCAAGGATATTCGTGAATGGATAAACGTCATTTTGCGAACGAGCTAAACGTGCACGATAATACGACTCGGACAAAAATAATCGACCTCGACAAAGATCAACTCGCGCTTATGAGAGGCGTTAATTTACATGAATTCACATTTTATCCGATTGTGAATGGCGACTCGGACAGTGGTAGAAGACTTTAGGTCGACGATCTGCAAACGCATTGCGCCATATTAAAACTGTACGATATCAATTGTTTCCTTCATAAATTCCAATATTTTCCAAAGTAATACTTCGATTAGTCTCATTAATTAAACGAAATTGCAATAACTCTTGAATTCTTTGTGATTCTAAGAAAAATATATGTTTATTAACGTATACGTATGTATATACATACAAACATAAGCACAAATATTTATAATAACGTTAATTCTAAATGTAGTATTTATTGAGACGATCTGTTGGTAAGATAGAATACGTCGTTACCGACCGCGATAAAAATCTTTTCTTTATTTCTTTTTCTTCCATTTTCTTTCTACGCTGACATATATCTTACGTTCACAATACTTTTCATCATACTTTGTAATCAAATGTCAGTTAACTTTTCCATTCACAATGATCCTTTTCTTGTTTTTCACGCTACCTACAAAACAACATTGTATTGTAACGTAAATGATTTCTAAGGAAAAAAGTAGTATTGAAAGAGTATAAGATCTTGTTTTCCTGCTCCAGAACTTGTTTGGTTTCACGAAGAGAGAGAGAGAGAGAGAGAGAGAGAGAGAGAGAGAGAGAGAGAGAGAGAGAGAGAGAGAGAGACCATTTATGTTTAATTACATTATAGTTGAAGTTAGGTAAAGACGTGTACACATACACACATTTTCTAAACGCTGGAGTAAGAAAAAAATTCTTGAGTGTTGTGTTCTCTCTATAAAACGAAACCTCACAAATCATATATATATATATATACACCTGACTCTTCTTTCTCTCTCTCTCTCTTTCTTTATAAAACTGATCGTGTTGGTAGAGTACACAGAAGGCGTTAGATAGGCGTTCCTCTCCTCGAATGAGAGAAAATCGTGATGGTAGTGTAGTAGTAGTAGTGGTGTGGTAGTGGTACCTGGCGAACGCTTGGAGAACGGCTACGTCAGTCTACGTTTCGTTGCTGTGGCGTTCGCGGTGAACGTTGGTCGGAGGACCAACCGGAATCATTCCTAAATCCCCCTTTTTTTATTCTTTCATCTTTCTTTCTTTCTTTCTCACTCTCTCTCTCTCTCTCTCTCTCCCTCTCCATTTCCCCCTCTTCTTTCTAACGAACGTTCAATTTTCGAATTAATCTCGAATAATAAAAGCAACAACTCGTCGTTGCTTTTCTTCGTTCGTCGTCCTTATGTTCGGTCTTGGGAGCAGGAAGGTCCTGAAATACTCCGCCATCGACCCTTCGCTTTCCATCGATGTCGAGGACACGGTCACGTGCTTCTGCAGGTCAGTCCCCCTCTCTTTTTCTCTGTCTTACTCCTTCCCCCTACCCCCACCTTTACAGTTTCGGTTCAGTCGATCACGGAGGATCTCCTCTTTACCGATCATTTTTCGCCTCTTCTTTTTCTTCTTCTTCTTTTTATTATTATTATTATTAATATTTTAAGTGTGTGAACTTGCTTGGCCAATCGCGTGACAAAGTACAACAACCAACTTAGCTTACTAACGTACTTGGTTATAGTTATCTCTATATGTAATTAATTGTTTTATCTTTTTTTAATCTCGATAGCAGAAATTGGAGAGATAAAAAGATGATGATGTAACAAAAATGTGTGAATGTCTGATCGATTGATATTTATTTATCTGATTTGTATGTATATATTTAATGGTATTGGTTCCGCGCGCGCGTGCGTGATATCCCAAGGTTGTTCGAAGAAGAAAATTTGTTTATGAAGAAATTAATAACTTAAGAGTAAATATTAGTTTGAACATTGTAAATATTGTACTCAACCATACAGCTTCTTTATTGTGTGTCCGTTAGATTATCTACATCTTAACTTTTTCCAACTCTGTGACGTAACAGGTATACATATGACATGTTTTTAATGAATGCTCGAAAGAACTTCTTGTTTCGATAAAATGAGATATGTGGTTTTAAAAGCTTGCTTTTATTTATAAATATTGAAAAAGCATAAAATTTATGCAACAGTTTAGAGTCACTAAGAATTTTGTTCCAATTCGAATCGTATTATCGTGTAATTGGTATTATTTCTCCTCCATTTAAAGAAAAGAAAAAAATAATATAACCTACCGACATCGATGAATTTCGTAGAATCATTGGTTCGGATATATATTTATGTAGATGACGCAGTATTATTACGTCGTCTAGAAATCTTCCGCGGCGCCAATGATATGTTCTACGATTAAGGTTAAGTCAATATTTGGCCCCGAGTAAGAAGAGGTACCATTGGCTTAAGCGAACTTCACTCTTGTAAAACTATGTGATCTTTAAAATCTTCGAATCAAAATTGACATTCGTCATTAATATTTATCTTTATTGTCATAAAAATATTTAATAGAAATATTGCATTTAAAATTGTAAGACAGGTTACGTGATGTTTCTAGTTACGAATAGAAAAGCGGCAAATTCATAATGTCACAATCGAATAGAAATTCGTGATAATTTGCAAGGGAAAACATTCTAAACGATTTGTCATTGTCAAGAATACGATATCGCGAAGTTAGGCTAACTGATTTTACATAATTACCTTGACGGCAATTAAATATATTGAGAGTAATCCCCTCTTACTGGTATCGTTCATGTATATTGAGAGAGAGAGAGAGAGAGAGAGAGAGAGAGAGAGACCCACTTTCGTTATTGTTCGAGTCATGGTTTTCCTCGATTACTTTCTCGTGATATCTCGACGACCGTGAGAGTGTAACGAGAACTTTCACGGTATGGAAAATTCTCGAGTCAATTAATAAAAAAAAAAGGAAATAGAAAGGGTTATCGTAAAAAAAGAATAGTCGTTGTTACTCTCGTAAGCTGTTACACTCGGCTTAATTAAATGGTTTTGCTTTAATTTTAGCCAAATCGGTAATGTTACTTTCTATATATATTCCTTTTTTTTAATTTTTGTAACATCAACATTTAAATCACCTTTCTAACCTATCTAAATTCCTTTCATCATAACAAATACATTACATATACTTTTATCTCGTAATTAAGGTTATAATGAGAAACAATATCCCATTTTTTATTTATTGTTTATTTTCCAAACGCGCTATTCTACAAGTAACTTTATATATTAGTCTCTTCAAGCTAGGATACCTTTCTAAGCAACCTCTATGAAAAAAAGATGAAACCCTTGAGGAACACGAACACGATTGTTAATAAATATATCGTAAGAAGAAAAAAGGAAAAGGAAGAGAGTTGTGAAAGAGAAAATAGAGAGTTGGGATGAGGAAAAGAAAGTAACTATATTCTACATAATATATATATATATATATATATATATATATATATATATATATATATATATATATATAGACTAAACAAAAGATTATGTTTCTGGCGAGATCGATGGGAAAATAACAATCGTTGAGAGGAAATATGATGACGGCAATAAGAATAGTCTTTTAACGTTAGAATGCATCGACGATGGAGATAAAACTATGGTAGTAGAATGACGTTGGTAAACAAACGTGTAGGACGAAATAATGTCTCGAGCGTGATGAAGAGAGGCGCCAGGAAGGCGCCATTCTTAACATCGATCGTCTTTTATTTTCTTTGCTCTTCTCCCTCTCGTAATCCCTTAACTGCTTGAAAGGAAAACAAGTTCGATTGAATCCTGGCGCCAAAGGATCTTCACTTTCCATTCAACTTGATATTTGTTTTTTGTCTTTCGTTTTGCTTCTCTTCTCTGTCATTTTATCCTCTTCTTTCATCCTTTTACTAGGAAAACATATTGTTTAATAGAAGGACTAATAATAGTTTAAGTTATGTATCTCTTCCACGCCAACTAAACAAATTATTCTCAATAATAGAATTAAAAGAATTTTGTGTTCGGTATTTTGTGAAGAAAGAAAAAAGAAATTGTTGGATATCGAGCGAATAATCGATGAGAAAGTAGTGTGGATAACCACGTGACATACCACGCCCTCTTTAAAAAAAGGCGCCGTATTTAAATCTTCTCATTATTCTTTCAAAATTGTTAAGCTTTTCTAGTTAACAATCTTATATGATTATTAATTAAATTATAGATGAAATTTAAGATTATTTGCATTGCCATACAATCAAACATTCTATCATTCCTAATGATCATTCATATATGTGCGCGTGCATGTATATATATCCACAAACACGTATTATTGTAATAAGTATAAAAAAATGAGTGTTTAAAGGAGCGCCGCAAAATAAGAGCGGAATATTGATTGTCGCAGAGAGACTATCTCTCAGTGTGTATGAGGCTGTGAAACAGGTAGGAAGTTGGGGAGGGGTCGAACAGTCAGCTGACTTAGTTGCCGGTTCACAGCTGATCCATTGGCGGCGCAACCACCGTCGCATTGCCGCTCTCTTGCCTCATCTCTATCCCCTCTTCCCTTTCATCCGCCCTTTTCTTTATTTCTTATATATCCTTCAATATCATATTATATACATAATACATCATAACAAATCGTTTAATAAAAATTCATATGAAAATTATTTTATATTTATATATGCGCTCACGCATACACATGCATTAACTAATAAAATGATATTTTTCTGGATCTTCCGGGAATACTCCAGCATTCGCTGCAGAGTCGCGGCGTCACGATGCGGTGTAGGACCAGAACTGGTACGCGTCGAATCTCTTTCTCTCTCTCTCTCTCTCTCTCTCTCTCTCTCTCATTTTCTCGGCAGTCGCATACGAAGCCTCCACGAGGACGTCAGTCTCTCGTCTCAGAGACGGCGAGAACATTATATTTGTCGGTGCTCGCTACCGATCTTCTTTTTTACGTGTTTGTTTGTTTATTTACTTTCTGTGACTTTGACGAGTGAATAAAATATTCTACTTCTTATATATATATATATATATATATATATATATATATATGTATATATAAATTAGTTGTTTGGTAAATCATTTTGTTCACTTGTCAATTATCATCGAACATTTTCATTAACCTTCTTCTATTCTCTCTCTCGTTCTTATTTTTTTCAATTCGTTAACATCAAAAACTTGATCAAATTTTTCTCTCAGCCGTCTCTATTTTGTACTTTCGAATCTGCAAAATGATGACGACAATGATTATGATGAGAATAATGAAGAATTGTTTAACATAAAGGTTCGATTGATCGAAGCCAGATAGTATCTAAGTAAAATTATAAGAAATAAAAACACAAATATAAAGAAAGAAGAGGATAGCTACGTCAATGTGCCGTGGTAATATTGCAGACTGTTTTGGCACGAGTCCAGGCAATTGGAGATACATCATAACCTAAAAAAGAAAATAAAAAGGAATAGATATATGGAGAATAAGGATATATGGAGTAATGGTTTAGAAAAATGATTACTTTTCTTCGTTTTTAGAAAAATCCAGAAATCTAAAACTTTGTTAATCATCACAGATTAAAATTTAAAAAGAAAATAAACAAATATGACTGAAGGAGGTAGCAAAAGATCAAGAAGAAGATACTACGGAAGATATACAAAACTATTTAAACTCTCATGTTTTTATCGATCCTAAAAAAAAAGATAAAAACAAAAATAAATAAATAAATAAAAGAAGGGTGTTGAACGTTTTTATAAAAAAGAGAACCTCGAACTGAGCTCGAGCAACCGACGAAAGTCAGTCGCTCATAGCTACAGAGAGGTTCGATGAGAACCAATCAAGATTTGGTGCATACCGAGTGTACGTGAAAAAATCCTTGGCCACGACGTCCTCCGTGGTATCGTCGGTGGCCCGCCGAAGAGGTCATCCTCGGCAGCTACAATAACGGCTACCACGGTGACGTCGGCCTCAGGGATAATGTTACGTTCACCTGCTCGAGTTGTACTCCATCAGGAGGGAAACAACGTAACTTCAGGTGTATCGTCGTCCTCATCGACGATGTCAGCACCTGCAACTCCTGTTCATCATGGTGGCGGAGGTGGAGGTAGTAGTACTACTACTACTACTACTACTACTCCAGCAAGCTCATCGTCACGACTCTCCCTTCTCGACACCTGTCACAGGAAAATCAGGCTCTTCGGCGAGCTCGTCGCGTGAGTCCAGTCCAAACGATCGTGTCTCTTCTTTTAGATGGCCTGAATAAAAAAAAGGAGGGTGGGAGACGCTTCGAATGTACGAGATTTGAAACAAAAAATAAATAAAATTCTATAAGAATATTTTTTTCGAGTCAGTGATCTACTTGATAGTAAAAATAATAAAATTAAGAGTTTCCATAGGGTGATCTCATAAAAGATGATCTATTAAAAATAAGGAAATTGATAAAAAACTTCCAAGTCAGTGATTGTCAACCCGATGATGATAAAAATAGCAAGTTTAAAAATTTTAACATACTGACTGAAAATTACGATTTTATTATAATCTCACTTCACTGAAAAAATGAAAGGAATCGAAGCGTTTCCTTTAAAAATTTTTACCCATATACATATAAATATCTACATATCTATAAATGTCTATGTATTTGCTCTCTTTTTATGTCCTGCGAATATGTGCGCAAAGATTTAATTTCTCTATGTTGATTATGTTATTTCACTTGCATGGCGGCCAAGCGATCGAAAAAAATCCTTTTCGTCGTCGTCGTCGTCGTCGTCGTCGTCGTCGTCGTCGTCGTCGTCGTCGTCGTCGTCGTCGTCGTCGTCTTCTTCTTCTTCGTCATCGTCACGTTGCGTCTTCATCGTCGCCATTTTGTTACGCTTTTCTTTTTGCCTTTTGCCAATTGAATAAAAAAGCATACACAGGAAAAATGATTTTCATCACTTTTGTGACATGGCTCTTGCTTTTTAGCAAATTACAAACAAAAATGAAAGAGAGAGGGTTCGAAAGACGCCATCTTTATTTTGTTCAATCTTTTGTGATGTCATTATATCAATTTAAGGAATGTAGCTTATTTTAACTACGGCATGCGCTTTTTTTAGAAAAAGAACAAAAAGTAAATCAAATTTAGTAATCACTATGAGGTACGTAGTACACATAATAGGTATGTATGTATGTATGTATGTATGTATGTATATACTTATAGCCTGCCGTAGTAGACGTAAACAAATATTAATTTCGCTACTGTATGAAATTGCATGTAAAAACAACATTTCTTACGATGACCAATAAGAATCGTTGAAACACTTACACCTACATCGTTCGATTGGTTAAAAGAAAACAAGATGGCGTCCGTAATTCGCAACGATGCAGTTCACAAATTCGATTTAAAATATAAGCCTATTAAAAAATGTTTAATTTTGAATTTCTAAACTATTATATCATTAATATATGTTATTATTATTATCATTATTATTATTGTTATTATTATTATTATTATTATTATTATTATTATTATTATTATTATTATTATTATATAATAACAATAACAAAATGAATTTTACACACATTGATCGTTATAATGTGTTCATTGTATTTAAATATAAATAATAATAAAATGTATTAAGATTATATTGTGGTTTTGTGTTTGTCACACCTAAAGTCAAATTAACACACACACACACACACACACAGAGAGAGAGAGAAAGAAAGAGAGAGAGTGAGAGAGAGAGAGAGAGAGAGAGAGAGAGAGAGAGAGAGAGAGAGAGAGAACTTCATTATTTTTTATATTGACACAGTTACCATTTTATTCTTATCATTTTTTAATTGTAACGCATACACATACACAGAATTTGTATATGGCGCTCGTTTGCCTGTAGATTTGAATCGTCTTATTAGCAAAAAAGAAAGATAAATGTAAAAAAAAAAAGATTTGATTTTGAAGAATAATCCAAATGGCTATGATGGTAATGATTTCAGAAAAGCCCGACGAAAGGAGAAAGATGCGGGAACTACAGAGGATCCTAAACTCTATTTGGAGGAGGCAACTTTAGAAAGACAGCTGCCCGAGTTAGACTTAAGGATGCTAGTTGATCTGCCACCTGGTTTGGATTATAACGAGTGGCTAGCATCACATACCCTCGCATTGTTCGATCATATTAATCTCGTTTATGGTACTATATCTGAGTTTTGCACTATGACCGGTTGCCCGGATATGACTGGTCCTGGTTTGAGGTATATTTTACCTAATTAAAACAACAATTTTCATCGTTAATTGTTCATTTATAGAGAATAATAAATGAATTGTTTGTTAATTTATTCCTGTTTAAAAATTTATTTCAAAAAATGTAACATTAATGTATTAAAATATATATTAAATTAATAAGATATATCATGATATCATAACGAAATATGTTGTTTAAATCCTAAAATGTATTTTTTTGCAGGACATATTTATGGTTTGACGAGAAGGGTAAGAAAACGAGGGTGGCAGCGCCACAGTATATAGATTATGTTATGACATTCACACAACGCACCGTTAGCGATGAAACTATATTTCCTACTAAATATGGTAAGCTTGTACATAATTAATTTATGTAAATAAATATATTTAATGAATGTAAATATATACATAAATTACTCTGGCTTTCTTTTTTTTAATATTTCAGGATAATCACATATCCAATACTGTAGTGGTATTAATTATGATTTTTTTTTTCAGCAAATGAATTTCCAAGTTCATTTGAATCAATAGTGCGTAAGATCCTGCGGCTACTGTACCATGTGGTGGCACACATTTACCACTGCCACTTCCGAGAGGTGGCACTCTTGGGGTTGCACGCTCACCTCAATTGTGTATTTGCTCACCTCACTCTCCTTAATCAACGCTTCAATCTTATTGATCCCAAGGAAACGGAAATCCTAGGAGACTTAGAGGCTGCTCTCTTGGGTAAAATTATCTCATCTTCGACATACATCTCTTTTATATATATATATATATATATATATATATATATATATATATATATATATATATATATATATATATATATATATATATATATATATATATATATATATATTTATATATATATTTATATATATATATATCACCAAGATTATCTAGAAAGAGTAAAAGACAAGAAGAAAACAGCATAATTTGCTTAATTAGATGTTGATTACGTAATAACACTTACAGGAGACAATCATGACATAGTCCAATAATTTTTTTATTGTCTATTTATTATTATTATTATTATTATTATCATTATTATTATTATTATTATTATTATTATTATTATTATTATTATTATTATTATTATTATTATTATTTAGGTGACTCATCATCTACGCCTTCGCAAACTTTAGCCATCCAGGAGACTCCGACCACAACCAGCTAGATCACAATGCACAGCATGCCAGAGGTTGCAGTTCCTGAGAGTAGGTGACGATAGGCGTTTGTTTGGTTTCTTAAAGATAGAATATACGTGAAAGAAAGTTAACAAGAAAAAAAATACACTTATTACACAAACGCATATATACATACACAGATATACACAGAAAAGATGGAACGATTCTGTAAAAACCAAGTAGTACCTGTAAATAGCGAAGTGTGAGAATTACAGCTGCAATGATGTAATTAGGTTCCTCCGTTTGTTGTTTGTGAGATTGTACATAATTTATTAATAACGATAAGATATATATGAGAAGGAAGAAGAGACGAAGAAGATGATAAATTCATTAATTATTATATTGATGAAAATTAGTTGATGAGATATAAGAGAGATCATTTGTTTCATAAAAAAATAAATGAACCAATAAGAATATTGTAAAGTTGAAGAGAGTAATACCAAATATATACCTGGTGTTAAGGCAATATCCTGTTATTTTCATGTTGAAACGATCATCGTACCGGTTGATCGACTTGTTATAAATCCTTGACCGTAATAAAATACTTCCAAATTATCCTCATTCGTATGCCGATTACGTATACGTCTCAATAATTAATTTGTTTCTCACATTCAAGTAGGAGAACCCTTATTTTCATATTTTATTTCTATTATCCTAATCGATCTACATAGATTTGCTATCTCTCTTAAAAATAAACCAATAGTTTCTGCCAATGGCTCGCAAAGATCTTTGATAGATGTTGCGATATTGTATAAAAGTATTAAAATTGGTTGTATCAATGCGTTAAATATTATCGAAAGTAATGGTTTCACGAAATAGTCTGCAAATAATTGCAATATACCAACAGTCAATGGTCGAATAAGACTGAATAGTATGAATCTTATCAATTGTAGAATAAAAGCTGTTAAAAATGCTGTTCCTATGTGAATTGTGCCAAATATTTCAGCCCAAAAACGTGTTGCCGCTTGGTCCGTCTTTTCAGCACATTTTTCTGTCGTTAATATGGGTGGTGAATCCGTTGTTCGATAATATCTATTATCACAAAAAATTATTTATTTATTAATTGCTTTGATTTTTCTAATCCAAAAAGCAATTCATATATATCGACAAAACGTTTGAAAATAAGAAAAAAAACCAAAAAAGAAGCGAAACTACTACGTAATACTGATTACGTCATAGAAAAATGGCGCCACAATCGTTAATTTAAAAGTAATTCAAAGCTTACGCAGAATTTCCATGATCGAAGTAATAAATATCGATTCTCTCGGCAAGATTTTTTCTTTTTTTGTCACCTTGACCTAATTTGTCAGCTTGAAACTTATTTATTTTCTCTTCAGGCTTTGTTTTTACGCTACCATTCGTGATTTTATTTAAAGACTAAAAATATGAAAGTTATGATTTTTTACAACGTTTAATTCTCTCGTTAATAATATCCAATGAATTATAATTATGTCTAACCTTATAACACGAATTCCGTCGTAATTTAATGTCGTACTTTCGATTTTTATCATCGAGATATTTTTTATCAGACCATTTGTAACGAAAATTAGACCAAAATGAACGACGTCTACGGTGATCATCTGAAAAATCATTTTTTAGAGAATTATTTCGGAAGTAAACACGTATGAGAATTAATATAACACACTTACCTTTTGTATACTTTACTGGTAATGTGCAAGCATTTCTGAAAAAGATAAACAGAAATTTATGGATAATAATAATAATCGGAACTTTCACAATTTATTTTCCAATACTATCACAGGTACGTATGTATACTACATTATTGGGACATGACAATAGCAAGGTATAACAGGCTCAAATTGCGTCATTTCTCGATAATTTGTTGCTTTTGGTGATTCTTGATTAATAGTCCCTGTAAAAAAAAAAAAAAAAAAAGAAAATAAATAAATAAAATAAAAAAGAAAAATTCATTAATTGAGACACTTCGAATCCGCTATATATAGTGGATTTTTACTATCTACTTTATGCTACGTTAATTTGAATATATATATTTTTTATATATCTTTAGCTAACATACCCTTTGTAAAAAATAAATAAATAAAATAATTCATTAAATGAGTAATTTCGTATTTGTCATATAATGATGGATTTGTATCATTTATTCATATTAGTGATTTTAATTGAAGTTTTATCATATTATTCATACTTTTGTAAGGTTCTTCGTCTGTCTTTTTCCCTTCTTCAGTAATTTTTACGTAAGATTCATAAGAATTTACTATCGAACTTATGTCAGTACGTAAAGACGTCACGTTCGAAGGTTCGGACATGTCCGTACAAGGACAATCTTCTTCCGAAGTCATTTTGTGTTTTCTTCTCCTTTCCTCTCCCTTCTTTTTTCAATTATCAACGAGAAACATATTTTTTGTCAATATAAAGAATCTTGCAACTAAACTAAACAGTAATTAACATGAAAATTGAACTGTCAAAAGTGATAGTTAACGAAACTGAACAACGTAGTAATCATATGGCCGCGACATTTGAAAAATGTTTTGCAATATTCATGTAAGCGATTTATAAAAAATCGATAGATAAATTATTTATTAATATGTATAATACACATATCGTTTAGTTTAATTACAAACTGTAATTGCAATTAGAGTACACTGAGAAACTTATGTAAATTTTGTAAGTGACAATGAAATTCTTTACAGTAGAGTAACAATAATAACGTTTACGGTAGGGGTTCTCAACTCATAGAAAAATTTCAATAGAAAACATAATTTTTCAATTAAAAAATATAATCCACAAATTTTATAAATATATTGTTTCTACTATGTTTGTTATAGTAAAATACTTAAAACAATAATTTATTTTAATTAACTTTTCAAATTTAGAATAAATTCATATATCCATACTTGTTTGTATATAAAAATTAAAGTCTTTAATATATATATATATATACATATATATATATAAATATATATATATATATAATTTATATATAATTTATATATATATATATATATATATATATATATATATATAAATAATATAATGTTTATGTACTATTGAAATAAAAAAAAAATTATCCCATCAAAAATTATTATTGTTTCTTATTATACTTTTATATAATAATTGCCTTATAAACTTAATTCTTTTTCTTTTAACGCACTGTAATTTTAACAAATCGTTAAAATCATATATATGTGTGTGTATATGTGTAATAATAAAATAGTTATATGTATTATATAAATAATATTTTTTTCTACAATTTTTTTTTGTGAAAGAGCATGTAGCATTATATTCTTTTGTTTCTTGTTCTGTTTTTTTTTTTTTATTTATACAGAATTAATTACTTACGCTCCATAAATTTGGTGAAATATTTAACTATATATTTCTTATACTTTATATATATATTTGGATATAAAATTAATTATGCATATAACCTAAATACATATATAGGTTATTGATATATACGATCAAAATCGAAGTTATTATTTTTAAATAATAATGACAATAATAATAATTAGACTAGGAGAAAATATACGAAACTGAATATAGTTTTATATTATGTAAAGATAAAAGTTTAATATTTATATGATTTAATTTGATAATTGGTTTTTAAATATATATATATATATATATATATATATATATATATATATATATATATATATATATATGTATATATATATATACATATGTCTGATTTGAGGTAAAATGCATAATATTAATGCATGTACATATATGCATACACGACAATATAATCAAGTTACTTTGACATAGAGAATATTTACTTGAAACTGCATGTGTGTATGTATTATATATTTAAATTTTTGGTAATTTAAGATAAATATACTTATATATTTTCAATTTTTGTACATATGTTTCTTAGCGATTCTGTACAAGCGCGTTAAACTGTAAAAGGTCATATAAATTTATTATGCTATATCGAATATCATGCTGGATGCTTTTCGCTAATGTGTTTGACTATTATGAAAACAACGAAATCACATTTATTACTATTATTATGTATCTCTTTGCAGAGCATACGATTAAACTATATAGAATTTACATAAGAACGAACGAATTACTGATTAGTCACAAAAGTTTGAAATAATTATCTCTAGTCAGTGCCAAGATTATCTCTTATGTTTCTTTCTGATAATTATGACGCACAATTATTTCTTATATTTTTAATTTTGTTATTATTCTCAGGCACTGTCTGATAAGTAAAAAGATATTTAAGAAACATTTGTACAGCGTTATATTGCTTTTTGTTTAATTAATGACTATGTTTAAAATACTATATTTTCAATATTTTAGTATATTGCATCAAAGAAACATCATCGTCAAGTTGTCTCCATTGAAACTTTTGATAGAACAATGGTATTTCTAGATTAAGAAATTAATAAGAATACTCTTTTGTTGACATTTATATTATTCTTGGATAAAATTTATATGATTATCCAATTACTAGATTCTTTAACTACGTGTACATAGTTACTTATCGTACAAAATTATTATAAGTGTAGATGAAATTCAGTGTTACAAAGTAGCATTATTTCATTCACAATTATAATTTATTTTAAAAGTTATTGAAAAAATTCTTACTATATAATTTACACCTTTGATCGTTCAAGCGCCACATCGAATATTTGTGGTAATCAATGATCGGTAAAAGTAATATTTTAAAATTAATGTTCAGTATAATGCATTGAAAAATATTGTTACATCTATAAATTGATTATAATACACATTTAACTTTTGGAATGTATAAGAAATAATTTTGATTTCAGTCAAGTGTGTAATTAATGCTTAATTAATATTAATAATAAAATGTTTTTAAGAAAAAAGTGAACATAAAATTATAAACAAGCTAAAAATACTACATATTGTTTCTTATGTTTTTCTTGTCTTTACAATTACTAATCTTAGATATCACATAAATAATAGAATAATTTTTTGTTTGTTTTTCATTCACAGTATAACAAATAATTTTAGTGAATACCTCATTTTTATCTTCATTACATGTGTATAAGTATAAATATAGTATAGTGTTTTTAAGTACAACCTCTACAGATTTGTAATAATAGTAGATATTTTTCTAATTTACATTAACATTGATAATTCTTTAAAGTATTATTTTCAATAGATAAAAATTTAATGGCAAGCTTTATGCCAAGGTTTTTCTCTTACAATGATTCCTGAAGACGTGTAATATACTTTGTAACTACAATATCATTCGTATATTAGAATTCTTCTATAAGTACAAATAAATAATATATAGTATAATATAATTATAATTAAACTTCGTAGTACATAATCTTATTTAAAAATGGGATATAATCGATGAATTAGCATTAACAGTAAAATTAAAAGAGTTTTCATATTTCATATTCATCCCTTTACATTTAATTATTATATTAAATAAATTGTCACTTTCGTTCAAATTCATTTAAATTATTTTTCTCATGCGATTATAATTTTAATTAAGAAAATTCCAATAATAATTCCAAGATTTGTAGAAAATTAATCTCTTGTTAGTTGACGTAACACATTTTCAAAACTATCTCTATCGTATTAACTGATTAATATGAATACTTTCAATTAATTATATTTAGATAAGAATTTACTCTTCATTCATATGAAATGGATATTATATTAACAAATAAAGCTATAATTGTGTTGTGTGTATGTCTATGTGTATCTGTATATTCATATATACATACATTTTAACAGTATTCAACAATGTCATTGCTTGGGTCTAGATTAGATAAAGATTTTGTTTACCATTGTCAGATTAAGACGGACAAAGGCACAGTAAAGTAATAAAACATGAGATCTTACTGTGACCATGCAGTCATATATATAATCAATGTATTTTTTATTTGCACATAATATTCATGCATATCTCTGACTTATAGTTAACTAAATATCCTAATTTAATCTAGACCCATTACATTGTTTAATAATCTGTTTATTTTATACGTTTCCTTATCATTTGTAATATAGATTTTCAAATACAGATCTTATTATTCTGTTTTTATAGAATTGTATAATATCCTGATGATATTGATGGCTACATATTTGAAATTAATTTATATGTAGAATGGCAAGACATTCGTATTTACAAATATTACAGAATAATAAAATAATTATAGAGAGGTATAAAATAGAGAGTGTGTGTGTGTATATATATATGTATATATATGATAATGTCCACAACAAAAATACACACATCAAATCATAGAAAGTATAATCTCAATGATGAATTAAAATTAGTTGGTAGATAACTTTCAGAGAAGAAAGAAGATATTAATTGTGCATAGTACTCCGTTGCAAAATGTATATCATGGGATATGCATGTTTGTGACCAAACAGTCTTTTAAAGTAGACAAATTTTTAAATTCTTATGCTCTATCACTGGATTGGATTATTTAAAATATATGTGTATGTGTGTGTGTGTGTGTGTATGTGTCTGTCTATTATATATATATATATATATATATATATATATATATATATATATATATATATAACGTAAACAATCATGCGAGTAATTACTGCTTTATGAAAGATCACTTACATTTTCACAACAATTCTTTGGTGGGCCAGAAGTTCAGGTATTTGATATGGCATAGGTTAGCTTCTAATGGCTAGATTTTTATTATGTCAATGAAAAAAGTTTTCGTTGACCTATCAAACTTAAACATATTGAAAATTTTCTTTCGCAGCAAGTAAAGGTAATTTTTCAATACTTTGTTTAAGGTCAAAACTGTGTAACCAATCAGAACTTGGTTTTGCTTTTACTCCACAAAAATTAAAATTGCAAAAATCAGCAGCATTCTGTAGTGCACCACGATGGAATGGATTTCCTTGTTTGAAATGCGTATAACGTCCAGCATTCATTCTTTCATTTGTGGTCATTCCAAGTACCATGATCTAAGAAAATTATTATAGTTTATTCAAAATACCGGATAATATTTACATAATATTGAATAATGAGAAAAATTCAATCAATTAATATCTTGAATTATAAAGGGAACTTCTAACAAACCTGATAACATTGACAAGCTAACAACATGCCAACCCAAAATGAATGAAGAGAGGTATTTGCTGCGATCCACATAATCCAAGCATCGCAGGTAGCAGTAGCTACTAAATAATTATCTGCGCTATGACCATTTGTCAAATTAGTCCAACATTCAAACTGCCAGTATTGCACACTAGCAGATAAAATAACAATGCACAGACCTAATAACGATGCCAAAAAACCTAGAAAATATTTATGATTGTGTGCTCCTGTAAATATAAGAAATATAAATAATAATTGTAATATAAGAATATAGATATATTTTAAAAGATTAATAAATAGTCACCAATACAGTTATTAACCCAAGGACAGTGATGATCAAATCTTGCGATACATCTATCACATGTAGAACAATGCTTTGATCGTACAGGTCTCCTAACTAAACAACTGCTGCAAAACCATTGCGGTTCAAAACCACCTGACTCAGCTAATTCTATTATTGTCTAGAAAATATAAGTAAATAGTTCTCGCATCATGAACTGAATTTTGAATATTATTTATCTTATATATTTATTTATTTAATATATTAATGGCTTACGTTTAATTTATCTTCATGACTTGCTGTAATGACTCCTGGGTCTCCACGCCAAGATTGTAAGAAGCATATCCAAAGAGGAACGGAACCCCCAATTAATAATAACCATAAATACCAAGCTGCATGAATGCCTAACCAGAATACCCATGTAACATATATCCACATCTGAAATACAATATAAAGTATACAATAAAATTACATATTTTATAATATTTATATTTTATATATACATTATCATACTCGTAGATATTATTTTTAATAAGATGTACAGATGTACATTAAACAAAATAATAAAATTGATTAGATTAACCTTAGTAATCTTGTTTAGATTATCAAAAAAGAAAATAGAGGAAAAAGAAACCCCACGCATTGTATATGCATATATAATATTTAAAGAACTTGTAAAAATGATATAATATTAATCTTTTTTAAAGTCGATACATAAGAAGATATTTTTATTCTTTTTTTTTCCAACTTCAGAATATTATCATAGCTATAATAAAATACACGTTACAGAAAGATATCTTAACACTTGATTACTTATCAGTCTTATTGATGATGGATAGTGTTATATCACATAATACTTGTAAAATCTTGCAATCTTAGTTAAACTCACCTTAGTAGCCAAATAAATGGACAATGGCAAGATATGAAATAGTCTTTCATCAAAGATAAAATGATTAGCTGAATATATTCCTACATAGAGCATTATGAAGGCACCTAGTTTTATTATATAATCCAATCCACTTTGTAATATCATTCCTATTACATAAAACACTATAAATGGTGTACTGACCATACAATACCAGCGTATTCTCTGAAAAGATATAAAGTAATGTTTGTAAAGGACAAAAATTAAATTACTGATAGAAAATGAAAATATATTTTATGCATAGATAAATTACCTTATCCCTGCACCATGTCCTTGTACGTCCTTGTTTTTCTTTAATCTCTTGACTTATTTTATGACCCAACCAAGCAGCTCCAATGTGAGGTCCTAATAATGTCATTGGGGTCTCATTTTTAAAGTTTGGAATATCTAAGGATGCTCCATGATGAACTAACGTAGATATCGCTGTATTATTTTTGGCTATAATAGCCCAATGTAAAGCTGTATTACCGTGTAAATTATCTGTTAGTGTATGCGATGCACCTAATGTTAATAACAACCTTGTGGGATCTAAACTGTAAAATGAAAAACTTTAAAGTAACCCAAATAGTATGGTTCCAATAAAATATAATATCCAATGTTGCTCCTAATTTTCCTTTTATATACCTATTAACTTTGTAAGCGCTCCACATAAGAGGTGTCATAGCACTTCTATCTAACATATTTGGATTGACTCCTTTCGCAACTAAATAAGCTACAATAGCTGTATGACCAAATAGAGTTGCTAAGTGAATGCATGAAAAGCCTTCGGAATCTCTTAAAGTTGGATCAGCTCCTGCTCTCATCAATATAACCACTATACCTAAATGTCCTTGCCTATAAACATAGATCATGTACAACACATGTTTTTTATTAAAAACGTCATATATTAACAATTTAATAATACTAACCTAGTTGCCCAATGCAATGGAGTCGAAATTAATTCACCACCAATAGCATCAACAACAGCTCCTTTAACCATTAGATACTTTACTATATCTTTATAATTATTTATTGCTGCCCAATGCAGTAATGTTACTGTTTCTGCATCTGGTTGATTTACATCTGCTCCGGCTTCTACCAATTCGGTAACACGATCCAATGCTCCATACTGAAACAGATATTTATTTATTTGTAAGAAAAATATCAAAAAATTTCTATTTCCTTAAATATTATTTCTCATACCATTAATTATATGTTTATATGTATGTGTGTATAAAAAGATTACCTGAGTAGCTCTAACAATATCAAAGGAGCTACAGTCTTGTATAGATGGTCGTGTAGGTTCTTGATGAAGGCTAGCCGGGATATCAGGTTCTCCATTGCCTTCTCCTTGACAAGCAGTTTGCATTTGTAACGCATACATCCTATATATAACAAAATCAAATCAGATCGACTCAATCAAAAGGATAAATAAATTTATTGTTAGACGTTTTAAAGATAAAAATCTTAACGTAAATCGAATACTGTTAAAAATCTACCTTAGATGTACGTATCTACCATAACCTTGTGTATGTATATATATATACATATACATATCATATACATATATATATATATATATATATATATATATATATATGTGTATATATATAAAATATATATATATATCCTAAGTTATTTAAACGTCATTTATATTCTTGTCATGTACATGACACGTTGTAAAAGCACATTGTGTGTGAGATAGGTACTATCTAAGCATACCGACGTATGATTTTGTATTCCTGTCAGACAAAACGACGACAAACAGTAGAATTTCTATATACTACAAAGTACAAAAATTATTTTTCATTATATCCAGAATTAAAATCTACCGTAATTCAAATAAGAAAGGAAAAATATTTTTAATGCGTATAAAATAAAGAATATAATGTATATATGTATAGTGTTTGTATGGTATAGTAAGTATAAAAAATGCTGTCAAGATAAACGATCATTCCCACTCTTTCTCTTTCTCTCTCTCTTTCTTTCATTCTCTACTTATAATAATAATGACTACGCAAGTAACAATATAATTTCGATCAACAGTATAAATATCCTTTTACCTTACAAATTTTAGCGGTTCTGTCAATGCTCGTACATACTGACTCGCGTGCTCTCGTAATACGAGACGCAAAGTTTAGCTTCAAAGGGGCGAATATCCATGGGGGATGGGGCGCCGGCTCATTGCAATGAAACCTCAGTAGGGTTGTCCGAGAGGACAAGGGGAATGAGAATCCCATGTTGTATATATGTAATAATGGAAGGGGAAGATTGGTATTTAGGCACCACCTAGCGACCACTTGACGAAACATTACTTGACACGCCTGCCACACTTCTTCCAATCGGTTGGAGTTTAATATCTATAGCATATTTTGAAAGTACATGTATCTTAGATTTCATATATATTTTTTTTTAATGAGCTAATAATAATTAGTATTATATAATTGAATATTGACTATATTATATTTTTTATCTAGGTAATGTTAAATTTAATATTGGGAATAAATTTTTTGGATTTTATGTTTATCTTATTATATTGTTTCTTTTATAATTAATAATGAGATAGACAATGAAGAGTTGAATATTTAAAGTTGCAAAAATAAAGATTCTTTTATAATCTATATATGTGTTACATAATTATTCAAAGTATGAATATTGTCTTTTGTCATTATGTATGCTTTATAGAAAATTTTCAATTCATTTTAGATGTGTATTACATAGGTGGAATCACAAACTCATAAATTATTTAACCAAGACTATTATTTAATGATTTTTAATAACAAAAACAAATTCGAAATTTCTGGAATATGGAAAAAAAGGGAAATATATAAAGTAATTATAATTCACACCTATGTGTGTGTGTGTGTGTGTGTGTGTGCATACATACATACTTCCATACACACACACACACACACACACAAATGCTATAGCATTGAAAATATATATATATATATATATATATATATATATATATATATAGAGAGAGAGAGAGAGAGAGAGAGAGAAAGAGAAAAAACATAACTGTCAATTTTACTTACACATCATACGCTGCCAAGTTTATAGAAGCATCTATTATTGGTTAACGAAATGGGTTTTTGATAAAAATGTAAAGTGAGCGATTTAATTTTTTTTTATAACACATTTTTCATTATCTTTTAAGTCTATGATAATTAATATTTAACAAGAAAAAAAACCATTTGCATCAATGTGTCTACGGTAATTATTAAAAGGTACAATTAGCAAATTACCATGTTGTATAGTCATTTTGTAGTAATAATAAGTAATAATATAATTGTAATATTTTCTTGATAATCATAGCGCGATTTTTCTTTCCATGTGTGATCAATCATTTCTACAAATATAATATATGGGATCTAATTCTTTATATTATATATCCACTTGGATTATTATCATTTATCCTTTACTATTATTTATATCATTTAACCAAATACTAAAAATACAAATGTGTTTTGCATACAAGAGGTTTTGAAATCATCCAACTTTTTAATATAGTTTGATGATTTTAAAACTCATATCCATTATACATACTGTTATATTTGCAGCATTACTCGCATAGTTAAGGAGCTTATAAAGTAATTGCCATATTTAAAGATATAAATGGGCACAAAAGTGATCACTTTTTATTGATTTAATTATTGTAATAATGCTGAGATATAACACTGCAACGTGTTCATCGTATTATAAAGCACCAATTGTTTATCGAGCTTCACATGTATACCATTCTCTAAGATGTATTGAATATGAACAGTTATCACACATGTCAATCAGAATATGATCTTTGGCGCATTAATATTTTATCTTTCTTATATTATATGCATACATATGCAGCTACATGGCAAATGTACTGAAAAAGCTCCTTAACAATGTTAGCAGGCTAAAAATTCCTGTTTTAGCTTTAAGATATATTTACATAGAAAGCTTAGCTCGTTTATAATCTATACAATCATACAAATGTAATATTTAATAAAATTGTAACATAATAATATCTAGCCTAACTATCTATAAAGAGAATATTATACATCGAAATTACAGGTGTATTTCTTTTCCCAATAATTCTTATACTTCTCTCTCATCGTAATTAAATTACTATATATTACATATTATCCCATAATACTAGGGATCTGGATCAAAATTGAATGTGTAATTCTCTTAATTTTCTTCTTTATATCTTTATGTACACGTTTATTATTTTCTTTTTTTTTTTTTTTTCATTTCCCATCCAAAATAAGCATATGCTACTATGTACAATATAAGTTTCAATATATCTGTTGGAATATAAATTCCAATAAACATGCAGCATTTTAACTAAATAAATTAAATTAATGTTGAGAATAGGAAGAAATTAGCAAAATGTTTTTTATTTCATTACTCAGTGTGTCGCTGATTGATTGATCAGTTTGCTAACTTTTCTTATTCCGATAAGATCAAATTCAATATTTAATATCTCAGTAATGAAATAATTATTTTATGAAATAGATTGCCAAGTAGTCATCAAACTCTTTTAAACCAGCTCAAGTAAAAGACCAAATTATTTTATCAAAGATTGCACTTACAATTACTTGTAGATAGTATAATCGTATTGACACAATATTATTATTTCCTGAAATTATTTGTCCAGAGATTATAAGTTTATTAGGTCATACATTAATAAAAATATAATGAAAAACGATAAAAGTTTATTGATGTTTTACTGTTTTGGCTTTAAATTTAATTATAATTAAAATTGTTAAAGCAGTAACCTTTTAATTTTCCATTAGAAAAATCTAAAAAAATTCAGCACCAGAGCAAAATAAAATAATGTTACTTATTAAAAATCAACAAATTGTAAATGAAATATATTAATGAAAAATAATATCAAGTCGAGAAGATATTAATTTCTTGGAGAAAAAAAGTCATCAAAATAAATTTAGGAGATGTGGAGTGATGACTACTGCCAGTTACTTAAAATTCGAACTCTCAACCATTAATTTATATTTATACAATATAAAACTAGATTATCTGATCACGAAAATAATGTATGTAACATAAATGACATATACATATATTTCATTATGTATATATACGCTTATGTCTATGTATCATAAGTATTGGCAAAAGGATGATGCTAACAAAGTTTTAATAAAATGATAGCGCGCGAAGAATAATTAATAAAAATGACAATGAGATGTTGCACGATTTTTTTAATTATTACTAATTTTTAATAAAAATTTAAACAGTTCCTATATATACAGAGTGAGAGGTGCTTTGTGTATCTTTACAAGAAATTATTTACAAAATATATTCATTCATATATTACCTATCAAATTAACATTGTATTAATAGTTTTTTTTGTTTTTTTGTTTTATATTTTAATCTTATCATTTTCATATTTTTATGCATGATTTATGTATATTCCAACGATCCGCATATTTTCATAAATAAAATAAGTCATTTTTAATAATAGCCTTTAATAATACCCCTGTGTGTTTTCTGCAATATTATGTCTACCGACGAACATTCCACTGAAAGACTGTGCTTACTGATTTAAAAAATGGAAATTGTGTAGTAACTAACGTATATTTAGAAATATAATATAGATATTAAACTTAAGTCCTAAACAAAATTTATTAAAATCAAATACCATACATCTATGCTTAAGCATTTCGATAAAGTGTTAATTTTCAAGAGTTACAAAGTGTGCTATTTTATTTCAGGAGTACTTCAAAATCAATTGTAAGCTTTTTATACAAATAAGAATAAATGAAGATGATGTGTTCGGTACACTGCGTCTTCAAATATAATTTATTATACTCATGACAATTGTATTTAATATCAAAAATGAGTATAGCCAACACTATTTTTTATGCATGCATTTTAACCCAGAATATCTACAAAATGAGAAATTCTACAAAAACGAGAATAGTTAAAATAGAATAAATAAACAACTACAAATATTTAACATTTTTTAAACAAAGTCTATCAGTGAAGTAGTTGTCAGAGTAGCGACCCCAGCCCATCGTTTAATAAAATTTATATCTGCAGAAATAATGTGTTATATTACGGCAGTAGAATCAGAGATTTTCATGTTTGACCTATAAAATTTTATCTTTCTTTTACCATTATTTAATTCCCATGAAGAAGAAATAAAAATGATACGAAAGAAAAAAGAAAGAAAGAAAGAACAAAGAGCAGAAAGTTATGCCTTCATCTGTGTAAAAAGAATTTTTGCATAACTTTCTGTTGGGTATATTCATGAAAAAACGTTTATATATATATACATACATACATACATACATACATACATACATCATCATACACATATATATATATATATATATATATATATATATATATATATATATATACACATATATACACACATATATACATATATATATGCATATGTCAATATATATAATATTATATATATATTTTATGTATATATATATACATATACACACACACACACACACATATATATATATATATATATATATATATATATATATTATATATATATAATGCTGTAAATATTGATCTCAAACACATAAATTGAACTTGACCGAATTGCACATATATAATAATGCGACCTCGTTCTATAAATGAATAATAATAACTTGTAATTGGTAAAAGAAAGTTACATAATGACTCGGCAGTTATAAATCCAGTTTAGTTACTTAGATCAAAACATAAAACGCTGAACAGATTCTGAGTAACTAAACTTTGCTGTTTAGAGGAGTAAATTGCAAGAAAGAATGCTGGACGGTGAAAAATACATCATTCTCGTGTTTTTTCGTACTGATCTTCCCTTATAATTAAAATTCTTAGATATTTAAAAAAGTAACATCTAAAGACGATCGTTCAGGTGGAATACAAATCTTTTCTTATAGTATATTATCAAAGAAAATTTGAAAATTTTATACAGAATATACAAAAAATATTTAAACGAAGCTTCGAAAGAGTTTATATTTATCGTTTATATTTTTTGTATATTTTAAAATAGATCATTCAGTTTCTTATAATACAACATAAATTTATTTGTTTTTTTTTCTTTTTTTTTTTTTTTTACACCATCCAGCGTTCCGATTGCCATAAAACTCCCAGACATATACAGCAATGTTTGTGCGCTATCGACACATACACATTCACCAGGTGGGGTCCAGCCACACGGCGATCAAGTAATTGTTTATAACAAATAGATAATCAGACGTATAGGCCTTGACAAGCGACGGTAGCTAATCACTGTCAAGGTCACTTCCCGAGGGTCATTTGTTTTCTCGGGATATTCGCCTCCGTTTCGCCTGTTCTGCTGCCTCAGTCGTTACTAAAACAATGTTCCCGCTGTACGAGGTGTTTTCAATTAAAACGGTATAGGGAATATGTAACTTAATTTATATATATATACATATATATATATATATATATATATATATATATATATATATATACATATATATATATATATATATGTATATATGTATATATATATGTATATATATATGTATATATGTATATATGTATATATATATATATATATATAAAAAGAAAAAAATATTTCATGCTCTTTAAATGTAATATAAAGATATTTTTAAATGCTATCAACGTAGACAAATAAACCAGAATAAAAATATATATTTCTTATCCATGAATCATATTTAAAAATGAATTATAATGAACTTTTAAATGAATATTTTATACATACCAGCTCCACTTCGAGTTTTTCTTCTATTTACATCTTCCGTAGATCTAGATGCACCTCTTGTATTGCTTGCCGGTGTTGCTAATGGTGAAGCTGTATTCTGTCGAACAGATCGTCTTGTTGTTACTTCTCCCACTGATTCATTACTTGATACTGAAGTACCACGTAGCCTTTCTTTTCCAGCATTTACAGCTGTTGGTGTACTTGCTTGTTTGGTTGTTAATAAACGGCCTTCTCTTTGCACTCTATTACTGGCATTGAAATTTGATATATTACTAGAATTAATTGGACTGCCAGAAACAGTTGTAGTTGAATTTGTTCTAGAATGATAACAATTCATTTACATGGAATACTTCTCGTTAAGTGCGGCTAATTCAAGTTTACATTAGGCTGCACGTAATCACGTATCAGTATTGCTTACTTTTGATCTTTAGGCTTTGGAGAAGCAGCGGATGTTTCATCTGACAATCTCATTCTTGCTTTTCCTACAGATTCAATCAACGGTTCATCGTCAGAAGAATCTACTTCTACCACAATGGGACCTAAAAATATAAAATTAACAAATCGATTAGACTCAATATGCAAATAAATCTAATCGACAAGCTTTTATAAGTTTTATATTTAAGGTCAATAACAATAGACAAGGACAACTAACAACTAAAAATATTTCTGTTTTTGGCAGCCTTTATAATGTGATAATAATTCATAATAATTTATGACATTAGAAAGAAAAAGAATAGATATACATACATACATACATACATACATACATACATACATACATACATACATACATACATACATACATCCATACATATATACATACATACATACATACATACATACATACATACATACATACATACATACATACATACATCCATACATACATCCATACATACATACATCCATCCATCCATGCATACATCCATCCATCCATCCATCCATCCATACATACATACATACATACATACATACATACATACATACATACATACATACATACATACATACATACATACATACATACATACATACATACATACATACATACATACATACATACATACATACATACATATGTATATATGTGGTAAGCACACCTTTTTTAGCTTTAGCCAATATGTTGAATCCCTTTTTGGGCTGTTCTTCTTTGCCAGGTATTTGTTTCTTGACAGGTCCAGTTTCTTCTACACCCATACAAGCTTTGATGAGTTCTGCAGCATTTTCGGAACATTTTCGTTTTCCTGGTCGTGGTTGTGGATCATCGGCCGTATTCGATGCTACAGAACTTTCACTTTCCTGTCGTTTTCTTTTCCCTACTTTCATAGTTGTTGTATTTGGTGATAATTTAGATGATCCCAACTTTGGACTAGCCTTTGCATATGGCGATATACTACGTCTTTCCTCCAACTTATTAGGACCATGTGGGCTACTTTTTGGAGTTTTGGCAATGTCTGGACTGTTAAGTTTTTGTGATCTAGTTCTCAATGATCTCTTTTCATTACTTTCGCTTGGAATTTCTATTAAAAGTTGTTCTAGCAAAGATTTAGGTGGTCTTTTAATATAATCATCCGAATTATTAGAATTTAATCTTTCCACAAAATGTGCATCGTCATTGTCCTCTATACATATGACATCCTGTCGGCCTTCTAATTCCTGTTTCCTTCTGCGTTTTCGTTTTACATGTTCTACATCGCTAGAATCTACTTCAAGATTTTGTGCTGCTGGGCTTGGAGTCTCATCTCTTTGCAAAACAACTGGATTAGAATATGTATATAATGGCGGTGTGATCCTAATTGGCTGTGGATCCTCACCAAGAGGTGACTGGATACCTATATTTATTTCGCTGGCATCATTAACAATTTTCTTAACCAAATCGTCTGTAACTTTTTGAAGATTCATTGAAGATTCCCTGACTGAAATTTGTTGAGAAGTTTGTACATTACATTTTTGGTTTTGATCAGTACATGATTCTATTTGAACTGAGCCTGTGTTCAACGATAAATTATTTTTAGAATTATCTGACTGATCAACCTGCCTTGTGTCATCCACTTTAACATTGATTACAGGCTCTGCTTTGATTTCTGGACTCTGGTGACTCTGATTATTTGGACATGTATTATCCATCACTGCGATAGCTTTGTTTGTAAGTGTATTATCAAGCTTTTCTGTTTTAACTTTATTATATGTAACATGATTTTGAATTAGAGGCACACCATTATTATTCTGTCCTTGAGGTTCTTCACTTAATCTAATTGCACTGTCACTCTCTGTTACCGTTTTTACACTGTCTTCAACAAGTTTGTCCTCTGCATCCCTTAACACTTCGTGCTTAGAGTTTGTCGTACCCTGCTCATTTTGGTTAATAGTACCTTCTAATTTAATGCTACAACTGTCTGTTTCAGAGTAATTGCTTATTTGTTGATGCGCACATTGTAATAAATTATCACTATCCATGCCACTACTTATAGAGGCAGTCACGACAGTCACTGATCCTGTCACTAGTGGATTGGAAACACTTTTTTCATTTTCAGTTATTTCTAAACTAGCAACCAAGTCACTATTATTACCACTAGTTCTTGAAGTTGTTGTTATTGTTACTGTCTTTTCACTAGATATATTCTTCGTATCTTGTTCACTAGAATGTGATACATTGCAATTAAGATGATTTTCAAGATAACTTGCAACAGACACAGGGCTTAATCTTTGTGGGGCATTGGACTTAAGAAGTTCCGTATGGGTATTTGAACACATATCACTACTATTAGTTGAGGAAGGCACGTTCTTATTGGTGGTTGGCAGGGATGGTTCCCCTTGAATAACACTTTTAGTGCTACTTTGTGTCACTGTTTCAGTCACTGGCCTATGTAAAGGTGATTCCCCCTGGTTTGGTGACTTCTCTGAAAGAGCATCCATAGATTCTATCCCCGAATCCTCCCCACCCCCTCCGCTACCAACTCTTTCTACATTTGCATCAACACCAATTCCAATAGGAACTGTTGTATTCTCAAGTAACTTCTGCTTTACTTTAGCTTCTGTTACATTGATTTCCCCAATTGGCAAAGTTGGCTTGCCAGTTGCTAAATCATTACTTTGGGATCTGGGAACTTGGTCCACTGTATTGCTGATTATTGAGCTTTGTGATGTTTTTAATAAACTTATCCTTTGTGAATTATCCAACTTATTTTCAATCACAGTTCTATCAGCTTGTTTTATTATGTGATTCTGAGTTATCTTTTTATTGTTAAAATGCTCTACCTTGTGCCTATTAATAGTAGCATTTGTGTCATTCTTAATATTCATGTGATTTTTCATTTTCTGTCCAAGACTTTGATTTTTAGTTAAAGTATTTGCATTCACTTTGCAATTGTCAATGTCCGGTTTACTTTTGACAGTTGTAATTCTGTTAACAGACTGCTGAGAACATTTAGTTGCCATATCCGTATGCACAGACACTTTAGCTTCAGAATTGTTTGATCCATTAGAATCATTTTGCATTATTGCGTTTTTTGTTTTTAAATTTTGCGTTTCACTCTCATAAGGTACATTGGTAACATTTTTTGCATTTGAAACAGCATTTGATGAAGAAGACTCAGAAACAACTTTTTGACTGCTTTGACTGCTAGCCTCTGTTTTATGACATTCTGTAATAAATTAGAGAGATGTCCAATTTTTTCTCGTAAACTTAAACTTATACTTTATACAAATAAAACAAGTTGAGAAAAATAAAATATAATATAATGACCCACTCTTAGATGAAGATAAAAAGAATAAACTTTAAATTTACCTCCTAAATGCAAATCCTTTTCATCCATTAAACTCAAACGTCTTCTTTTCTCTTGATTGATTAAATCACTTTTTACACCGTTTATTTCTGTTAATCTTGAGGTGACCGCATTTAATGCATTGTTCTTTTCTATAGCTGATCTATTTATGTCACTGTCGCTGGTTCTCCTGATTTCGCCAACTTTTTTAACAGTTGTAAAATCGTTTCCTGTTATAAGTGTCTCTGACTTTCGTATCGCTTGATTGGAATCACCTTTATAACCCAATTTTCTCCATTTGGCTTGATTATCTAGAATTCTACCACCTGACAATAAATTCTGTTCTCTGTGCATACCATCTCCAGATTCTGATTTCTTCTTGGAATCTCTTCTTTTGGTTTTACCTAGAAAATTTTTCATTGAATAATAATTATTATATAAAAATATAAATAAATCTCTCAATACATTTAAAAATGGATGCAACTAACTAACTAAAGTTTTAATTATATGTAATAATATTTTGATATTGTGTTACTATCTTACCTCCCCCTATTTTCTGTTCATGTGTATGATTTTGTACATCAACTTCCATTTGATTCTTTGTTATGTTTTGTTGTGGTGTATTCAAAGGTTGATTTAAAATAGTAGATTTATGTTTAGACGGAGATGGAATTCTACTGTTCAACGGTATATCATCCACGTCATTATTTTTACTTGAACTTGGCTTAATTAGCCCACCTTGTAGCCTCATAGAATCTACCGACACTTCTTGTTTAAAGGCATTAGGTTTTGCAACGACAGTTTGTAGAATATTATTCATTTTGCTAATGGTACTGGCGCTATTTATCATCGCAGAGTTGGACAGGGGTAGTTTGGAAGCAGACGAAGTACCTATAATCATGTTCAACGATGATTTCTTTTGGAGCAATTTGTTCCCATCTATACATTCTTTCATTTTCTTCAATTTTCCTTTTCTCTTTACACTAGCTACATCAGTTTCCCCATCTTTCAAAGACTTTTTTTCTTTTTTCCTGATTTGTACTACAGAAGCATTACGTCCTCTTAAAGAAATGTGTAAGGGAGGCACTCGTGGTTCGTCACCAGTCCCTGAGCTAGAGATACCTGTGGTAAACATTTTGTTTACCGACTTATCAACTTTCCTGACAGGTGGTGTGTTTACAAATGATACATCCACTTTATACGCTTGGGTAACTGGTTCTGATTTTTCTAATTTTAATCGGAGTTTAATTTTTTCTCCTGGCATTGGACTGTGCGCAGACTCTCTCGTAGGTTTTATCCTGCTGTGCTTTAAACTTCCTTCACTGGCTGTAGATTTGACCGTTGTTTCAGAATCTGATTGATCGGTATTGGTCGTAGTATCGTTTCTTCTCGAAAAATTGCTATCAGCGTCGTCGTCAGAAAAGATAGAATTTGATCTATCGTTTGAAGGAGATGGAAAAGAAAAGAAATCATCTTGATTATCAACTGCACTTTCTGGTTCTGAATCAGAACTTTCGCTAGGCATTGGTTCTAAATGACCGGTCAGAGGATTTATGAGAAATTGGCGGATTTTTCCAGTTGATGTATATTCTGGCTCTGGTGTCTCTTCCTCAGGTTTTGGGGACTCTGATGTTTCTACTTTAATGGCAGCAGTCGCAGTAGTCGTAGGAGTATGATTCATATGAGAGCCACACTGAGAAAAGGCACCTGGAACCTGATTTGAGACTGCGAGCCTTGTAGTATTAACTTGAGCACCCTGTGGAATGGAACTACTTTGTGTACTCCATGTAGGTCCATTAGCACTGCTAATAGATGGCTGATAATTTCTACTGAGGATATTTTGACTTTGTCCATAACGAAAGTCTGTTGTTGCACTCGTATTGACATTTATATTTTTCAATTGATTGTGATGTAACTGTTGTTGTACATTCAACGTCTGGCTTTGTTGTGGTAAATGAGGTTGCTGTGGTACCGGTTGTCGTGGATATGGTGGAGGTGTTTGTTGACGTTGATTACTTAAGTAACTTAGCCTTTGTTGCGATACATTCAATGCTACTGTTGGATGCTGTAAAACTTGTTGCTGTTGTATAACTGGTTGACTTGGTAAAGATGCTGACTGCAAAGGAGCATTAGTGTTTTGCTGTTGCAACAATGTCTGCTGTGTTGTAGGTCCTTGCTGAGTTATCAATTGTGATGTAGCCATGTTTTGTTGGCCTAATTGCTGTTGCTGTTGCTGTTGTTGTTGTTGTTGAGCCAAAAGTTGTTGTTGTTGTTGTTGTTGTTGCTGTTGTTGCTGCTGCTGCTGCTGCTGTTGTTGTTGTTGTTGCTGTTGTTGTTGTTGTTGTTGTTGAAGCAATAATTGCCGCTGTTGTAAAGGTGTTCTAACTTGTCCATTTACCGAATGCCTAGCAGGAAGTTGACTTTGTATTTGCATTTGTGAAGGCCTATAAGTCAATTCTTGTCTGATAGGAAACTTTTGTTGTATTTGTACTGGAGTATGTATTGGTGGTGTCTGTTGCTGTATCTGTCCAACAACAGGCACTTGGTGGACCGTTTGTGGTGTCATTATATTCTGACTACTACCACCAATTACATTAACTGTATGCTGTTGAGGAATTGATGATGGCTGATTTGCATTAACCGCAACAAATGCTGAAGATGGTGAATTTTGAGATATATCTGGAATAATGGCCGATCCTCCTATCAGATCTTCCGTCCTTAGCGAATCCAAATTTGGTGGCGATTCATTAGGCGACGTTAGCTCTTTTCTTCTAACAGTTGGCTTTTTCGTAGGTCTCATACGATTTGCCAATCCTGAGCTATCAACAACAGCTGGTGGCAACATTTTCTGACCAGGTATCACATTATTTGAATGTGAGGTAGCATCATTTTGCAGAAGATTTACAAGTAATGGACTTGATAAAGCAACTTGATTACCACTACCATTGGAATTTCCTGTTAAATGGTTACCATTGTTTGGTGACAGACTAGATGTCGTGGTAATTGGAGACTTATACTGAGTTGTTAATTGCCCAACTGTAACCACAGTTTGTGTAGTTGTATGACCACTTGACAAGGCTGTGACTGTTGCCAAATTATCTTGTATCGGATAAGGCGGTGGTGGCTGTGTATGCTGTTTAAACTGAATTGCATTTTTTATTGTTGTAGCTTGTGATTCTCGACTATGTATTGCTTGAGCAGCATGGGTCATGCTGGCAAACGGGAATGGACCGTTATAATTATTTCTGGATGAAGCATTAGAATTAGTGACTGGTTGGTTGCCAGAAGTACCAACACCATTACTACCAGCCGTTGACGGCACAGGTTTTGCAAGAAAAGGTGGGATAGGATCACAGTCTGTTGGTGCCACAACATTTGGAGAACGGAATTGAGGAGCTTTCTCTGACGATGTACCTGAAATAGTATAAATGATAATAATGAAATATATTTGTTCTTTAAATATGTTTGTTTAATGTTAAACAAACATACCAGCTGCTATTATTTGAGCAACATTCCGCAATGCAGAAGATATTGTTGATGTATTACTTGGACCAGGTAAAGCTATTGTAGGATCATTGTCAATGGTGACTGAACTATTTGTAGATTCACTCTGAGATTTATTTCCAGCATCCTGTGAAGATCCTGAACGTAAGACAATTTCTTGTGCCTCACCTCCAAATCGACTTGCTATCCTTAAAGATATAACCTAGAAACAAATAAATATACTATATTATTACTTTAGTAATATTTATTATGAAAACACTTTTATTACTGCTAACTTACTAATTTATTTAATAATATTATTAGGGTCTATAAAACAATAAATATACCTGGTCTCCTTCAACCTGTACAGAAAGAATGCCAAGTTGAGTAAGTGTTGGAGATCCTTGCGCTGCTAATTCTCGCAACCGTAATGCAGCTTCTCTTGGTATGGAAAATGTGACCCTTACAGAATTCCATGGTTCTACTTTGTTAACTTTTAGACCATCTCCTTTCTCTGTAAATTATAAATAACTTTTCCTTTAGAAGATATACAAAATATACAAAATATACATAATAATAATAATAATAATAATAATAATAATAATAATAATAATAATAATAATAATAATAATAATAATAATAATAATAATAATAATAATAATAGTAATAATAGTAATAATAATAATAATAATAGTAATAATAATAATAATAATAGTAATAATAATAATAATAATAATAATAATAATAATAATAATAATAATAATAATAATAATAATAATAATAATAATAATAATAATAATAATAATAATAATAATAATAATAATAATAATAATACATATAATAGACAAATAATAAAAATAGAAAATTATTTTACGTAACAAAAACTGTACTACTATATTATATATAAAACTTTTTTATACTTTAAAATTAATCTTCTTTATAATAATAAAAAAAAAAAGAAAAAAAAAAGAAAAAAAAAAAAAAAAAAAAATACATTGCAATAGATTCATAATACCTTTACATAGTAGAGATTTAAGACGGTCAACAATTGTTTTAAATTTATGTGGAAATTCTGGATCACCAAGGTCACCCTCACAAGTTACCACCGTCTCAATCAGATCACCATCACTGTCTGCCGCCATGACTGTATTATATAATTTTTGTTATTTGTTTAATATCAAGATTTTATTGATTCTTAATTTCATATATCATAATTACGAATTTAATTAACAAAACAAAGAAATTTTGAACTGTTGATTTCAGTATTTGAAAAATTAAGAAATACATACCAATCATAAATCACATAACTACCCAGGGAGCCTGGAGACACCTCAGGGTATTAAGACAATATATATGTGATGAGATGTCTCTCCGTCGGTTGTAAACCGACAACGCCAAACCACTCCAGCACTAATGCACTTGTCTACTGTTATAAAAACAAAAAAAAAGAAGAAAAAAAAAAAAAGAAAAAAAAAAAGAAAAAAAAAAGAAAAAAAAAGAGGAAGAAAAAAAGAAAAAATAATGATTAAAATCCGATAAAAAATATTACATATATATATGTGTGCATGCGTGCATGTGTGTGTGTGTGTGTATGTGCATGTATGCATAAATGTATACTATATATATATATATATATATATATATATATATATATATATATATATAGTATATATATATACACACATTACAGTCTTATTTAATCTAAAATATTTATATGAAATATTAAAGATCAAAAAAAAAATTATGAAAAATAAAACAATAGCAATGGTACTTATAACTCCATAATCATATAGTATAAATATTAAACAGATTATTAAACAGATCTGGAATTTAATATTGGCTTATAATAATCTAATATATATTCATATGCATTCTGTATATTTTATACAATCAATTGATCATAAAAAACGATGACACATATTGAAAAAATACATGGATTAAAAAAAAACAAAGAAAATAGAGAAAAAAAAGAAAAAAGAAAAAAAAAGAAAAAAAAAAGGCAAACATCACTTTATAAATATATAATATATTGTAACACGTCTAACTTTACTTTTATTGTTTATTAAAAATATTTATATACTTAAATATTACAATGTTTTTCCAGAACACTAAATTAAATAATGTTATAGTAAAATAACATTAAAAATATTGCTATTTTTATTTCAATAAGTTCAAAATAAATTTTTAATTTATTTTTTTATAAGATTTTATAAGATATCAAAAAAATAATGTTTTATCATTATAAATCAAATGGTAATAATAATTATATGAATGAATATAATATAAATAGAGAATAAATTTCTACTATTATTTTTATAAACCACTTAATGCACAATATTATATATTTTATTTTTATATCAATTGTTGCTCTTTCTTCAAAACTCATCTATATTTCATTCATTATATATATGGAATATTTCGTAGGGAAGAAAACAAATAAACAATAGAATAAAATAACAAACAGCTAATTCTCAAAAGTAAAATTATTAATTTAAAAAATCATAACAAAAATAATACCGATACCCTTAACGATCGTTGGTTCGCCTATACAAGAATGATAGTAATTGTCCATAAACACAAAATGCTAGTGAAAAGTATGACTAGGTTATAACTTGTCTATGATTTTATCAAGAGAGACATGATTATAAAGAAAATATGAAAATTGCATCTAAACGATTACAATATTTATCGTCGAATCAATTGACGTGGTGTAACGAAATAATACAAGAAAAGAAAAAAAAAAGAAAAAAAAAAAAAGAAAAAAGAGAAAAGAAAAGAAAGAAAAGGAAAAAAAAAGAAAGAAAACAGTCTCACCATTTACGAACGGCAATTAAAATCTTTTAGGCCACTAGACAGGGGCACGATTTTTATATAAGCAAAAATAGGTTATAGAATATCTTGATAGAACCAAGCGGCAAATACGTAGTATCTCATTGATCTAAATAAAGTGAGTATAGAAAAAAATAAAAGGTCTATCGAGAAATTCCATAATGATTTTTGGCGAAATAAGGCACCCAGACCATTGGATATCGGGGGGCCACCATTTTGTCCGTCGGGGGAGGTGTACGTGAAGTGGGCTCGAGCATGTTGAGATAGACCGTCAAAAGATCCGGAAGATTTTCATTTAACGAACGTTCAATGCGTATCATCGTTATGTTTGCTTACCAAACAAGATTAGATTCAATGGAAGAACTATAGGAAGCACCGAGGCTCATTTTAGTCCTCGCATACTATGAATTGATACCGTATGAACACAGGAAAATTTTAACGTTACCCCATTTCTTTCCAATTTCGTGTGGAATTTCTCGCGTCCAAATCGCACGGAGACACACCACAAGAGCACTTAGCTTAACCTAAAATACACCGCGCGTATCTTATTCCACTTTCTGCACAGTGCGCGCGGTGAAGATCGCGAAAAAACTCGACATAATCGGTAATATAAAGGGACAAGTCATAAAACGCCATGAACAATAACAAGGAGCCGCCATTTGCAATGCGAACAACTGACATGCGCAAATCAATCGCGCGGGGCATACTGGGTATTTCTACGGCGCCATCTTACCAATTATTTTAACATCGGAGTTTCTTTAACCTCTTATATCACCGTTTAGAATTATTATTCGAAATAATCGAAGAAAATTTATCAACAAATATTAATTAATCTAAGTTTATGAATATTCCTTTATGAATGAACAGGATTTTTATATACATGCATCTGTGAAGACTTTTAATTCTTATTTAAAGAAATCCTCATTTTACATTTTTTCATTATTTCAATATATTCCATTACCTATTAATAATATATTAATTAAAATAATAATAAATATATATTAGTACTAATACAGTAATCTACTATTGTTAGTAGTATTAATACATGATACTATCAATATAGATACTATCAATATTATCCAATGAAACATTAGTTATTTAACGCACCTGAATATTTTTCATTTCCTTTCTCTAAAAAATATAATTCTACAACCCTTTGAGAATGCAATTTATATATATATATATATATATAAAATACACTACGATATACCTACAATAAATCAATAATTTAAATAAACTTATATTTATATCAGAATAATCGTTTAAACATTTATAACCTTCTTAACAAACATATAAAACAATCTTAATTCATAGACAAAATATTAATATTAAAACATTAAAACAAAACTGATATTTTCATACAATTATCTAGAAAAAGCATATTTGATTTAGTATAAAAATTTAATGTATTATAGACATGTTCATATAACATATATATATTTTATTTAAGTTATTATATGAATTCAGTGTACTATGACAAACTATATACATTTTTTAAATAATTACTCATAAATTATAGGATTATCTCCACAGGAGTGCATGTAACCAGAATCGCACATGATCTTGAGTTTTGCTTCTGCATCATACTTTCTGTAAATAGATAGATAAAATTTATATAGTAATAAATGCAAAAGAAAAGTACACTATACACTTTACGAAACATAACAAATAAATATTGAATAACATGTATATTACTTGTAAAATTCTTCATATTTTTTCTTCCTTGCATCACCAACAAATACTTTGTATAATAATGTCGTAATAGTTCCAAATATTGTCATACCGACAAAGGCAACCTTCACCTTGCCTAATAGTAAATTACGAAGCTTTGGTTTGGTTAACTGTTTAATTTCTGTCGACATCTAAAGAAAATTGATTTCTTTTTTACAATTAGTACTTTATTTTATAAACTCAGGATGGAAAGATAGAACTAAAGATAAATCTAAATCAATGAAGTATACTAATAAAAAAAAAAGAAATATAATTAATTACTTGGTAGGAATTTTTATTAAATTTAAAATGTGATCTTAAAAAATTCAACGAAAATATAATCATTAAAATACAAAATTTGCACGCATTTGCTGTAACACTTTCTGTTAAAAAAGAGAAAAATTATTATGTAACTTGTACATACACTTCCAATCAAAAATTAATTTTATACAATATACTTGAGTTATTATTATTTCAGAATATATATGTGTATATATATATATATATATACATACTTTGTATAAATATATTATAATAATTCACAATAACGCAGAGCCTGTAAAAATTTTCTGTATCCAGAGATGTTTAGAGTGACAATCAGAGAAGCAAACTATTTACAAGAATAGACAACTAGCCATATAATCTTTGATAAAATACTATGTTTCCTTGGATAGTTCGTAACGCCATCTCGTGAGAAATTGTAATAACATATTGGACCAACTAAAATGTTCTCATGATTCAACGACCAATAGAAATGAACTTATGAGGAATCAATACGGATATAAAGCAATCAAAATCAAAGTAGCTGGTGTATTACGTATACGAAATAGATATAATAACTTATCATATTGCGAGAATTAATAGTTATCACGTGTATTTGGTCTATGACAATTTTTGCAATTTATTAATATCATATATAACAATATTGAATTTAATTTAAAAATTTCAAATTATTTCACGAGTATCTTCAAATCCTATCTTACGGCACTGAGTAAAAGACAAAGGAAGTATTTAGTAATCTAACTTTTTACATCGAAAAATTAATAATTTTATAATATTTATTTCAAAATTATGAGCACCAGATACAAATAAGTATATCATACATTATTTCCATTGGTTAATTTTACTCAAACAAAAAATTCAATAATTTATAAACAATTAAAAATAAATAAAAAGTAAATATATACGTTTACAAAGCTGGTTTTATTATTTTAAAAAATCCGGTAGGTAATGCTCGTTTCTTTTCGGCTATAGTTATTGGCGAAAAATCTAAATTGATTAATTGTGACATAACATTGATTATATAACTCCTATAATAAGGTAAAGTTTCTATCGGATTTCCATGTAATGTTAAGGTTCTCATATTACATAGTTTTCTTAATTTTAATACATCATTTATATTTGAAATATTATTACCGTGTAAATATAAGATCTTTAGATTAGAAAACTTTGCGATATCGTCTCCGATTTCGTTGATCTCATTAAATGAAAGATCTAACCAACTTAAAAAAGTTGGATCTTCTAGAACTGTTTTGCAAAGATTTTCAAGTCCTTCCATGGATGTTAATAAATTATTACTCAACCATATCGTACTTGTTGCAAAACGATCTTTGGACGTTCGCATTGGTGCTTTAACCGTTCGTATCGTCTGAGGTTGTTGATTAACTAGTTCTTTTAATTGATTAGTAATTTTTTTTTATTAATATTAATATTTATTACTTATTATAAATCATCAAATAATTAAGAAAGAAATTATTGTTTAATATGTACATACGATTCATATTGGTCGCTTTTTTGAATGAATAATCTAATGGTGGTGCTATTAACATTTCCTCTCGTTCGTTTCGTTTATAATCAGAGGTAAAATTGACGTTTGCATTATTAGTATTCATTATGTAACAACAACAACAACAACAACAACAACAACAACAACAAAGGTAATGATTTATAGAACAAACTTTGAAATATGAAATTGTTTATAACGATTGTAAAGAAAGGTTAATGTAAAGAAACGATAATCGATCTAACTAACATATTTTAACATATTTTATACACATGAAATTATCTAATCAATATGTACATTTTAATAAGTACTTCGTATTAACGGAGTTCAAATTTCAAACTGTATAGATATTTTTAAGAGAATAATTAATCGATATTTATAGTTTTTCAAGGTCGATAATAAAATTGTACAATTTATAATGGTTTCGTAAATCTGTATTATAAAAGAACCGTTATAAATACTTTCGCATTTAGTTGAATTTGTTCACATTAGAGGGCAACACCGTTTATAAACGTAATAATAAAGCTTTCTTGTGTATTGTTATTTAATGGATTGAAACTGTCCATAACAGTAAACAGAATTTAAAAATTGAATTAGTCTTGATTATATGAGAAAGTGAAGAAAGTCTAGTAGATTAATTTAAGTTATTATTTATAATATAGTGAATACAATCGTTTTGTTTTTTTTTTTTTTTTGCTTTCTTTTCCCTCAATATTTTACGAATTAGGAAGCATGCCACGTACGAAACAAACACGTAAATCCAAACAAAATCGAGAATCTTTAGAAGAATCAGATTTGTTTCTAAAAGATTTTCAGAAGAAACTGCAATTGAGAATTAATAAATTAGATAATGAAGCTAAATTTAGTATCAAGAGTTATGAAACTTATCACAATGTTAAATTAGCTGGTATACCAGCAGAATTGAAGCAAATGACTTTAGGTGAAATTATAGCGTGGAAAGAAAATGAAAAAGAAAATTGTAACGAAGTAACATCCTCTGTGAATGATCAATCATTACTTTACGTCATACCATCAACTGTGAAAGCAAAGAAAACTTCTAAACGTGGTACAGCTACATCAGACGATGGTTATGTAACAGAAGGTACAACAACGGGAGCATCTACATCACGGATATCTCGTGCATCAAGAGCTAAAAAATTAACTTCCGAAGCCAAACCAAGAAGAGTAACTCGTAGTAGTTCAAAAAATCGTCAATCAGCTTTAATTGATATAACGCATAAGGCATTAACGAAAAACAATGATAAAGGATATGCATATATCGAATCTCAACTAAAATCAGATAAATTTAAAACACCAGCACCTTCCAAGACTGCTAAGAATGAGTATAACCTTATTACTCCTAAAGTTAAACCAAATACTCCTATGAATGTACTCAGACGACCGCGTGAAGGAGAAATGGTATTAAGTATGCAAGGCAGTCCATTATTAGTTTCTGCTATCGTTCCAGATAAAACTGCAAATATTAATGTACCTTTGAGCAATGGAAACATTATGTCCTTGTTACCCAATGATGGATTACGCATGTCTCATATACCAGCTTTAGATCCAGAAACTATGCGTCAATTAGAAACACTTAAGGATCATATCGAGAAAGTTATTTCATTGAAATAACTTCATAGATTATACAAAGCGATTGCATTTAGCATTACACAAATGCGATGTATAGTAATTGTATTTTACAGTTATTGTATTAACAAACATCCTAATTTACATGGATGGTATAAATTAATAAAGGAGAATATTTTTTTATTACATACACACAACACAATATTATTGTAGTACGTCTAATATTTGTAATTTTATAATATATATATCTTTATAATTATACATATAACTATAGATATATTGTATCTCCTATTGCCTATTTGTATTATTAGTTAAGGTTATGATTATAAGTACATATTTTATAAATACATTTATAAATAATTAATAATTGTCTATAGTTTTGAAATTCTCTCGAATATATTGAATTATTTAAAAAGTCTAATATGTTATATTTTCAATAATAGAATTCGAATATTATTAAATAAATATATAATAAAAGATATTTCTTTTAATGATTTACAGGGCTAGCAATGTAATATTAATTTAAGTTGATTAGATGAGAACGTATACGTGGCGCTGAGATCGCTTATGTATCTATAAATGAATCTGCGCATGCTTAAGGTAAATGGAAAATGTCAAACAAGTCGAGTGTTGATTTTGACATGTTTCTATATCCTCCTTGTGTACATAGCTGTTTAGCCGTATATGTTATTTTTTAGATAAAAAGACTAATTAATTAAAAATTATTAATTATTGCGAAGAATGTTTTTTCGTTCGATACTCCCAAGTGAATTTCAATACGTTTATTATTGTTAATCGTAATTATCATTCCTCATTGTACATATATAAAAGTTATTATTAGAGATAACTCGAAAACATATAACTTTAATACTTTGGTATCTCTATTGAGAGAGAAGATTATAAAAATATTTTTATTTCTATAAGACAAGAGATGTGTGTGAAATAAAGATTTCATATGCTTCGTTTGATTATTTGCAACAAGGTAAAAATTCATTTTCATCTTTGAAGTAACATAAATTATTTATGCTATTAATATACATAGTTTATCGGATTCTTTTTTCTTTTTGTTTTTTTATTTATAAATATTATAGGTCTTTTGAAAAGAAAGGATTTATTTACTTTATAATTATGTCTCGAAAGATTATATCAGCGAAGTGAACATGGTGCGAGTTATAACAGTACATAATTTTTTGGGACAAAATGTTACCCAAATCGAGGAACCAACTGCAACATGCGTTGCAAATACTAATGGACGAGAAATGTTATTGCTAGCTCTTTCAACACATTGTGTTGAAGTATGGGAGCTAATGCCATCTGATATAAAATTGCATACAATATTTCCAACTGTTGATATGATTAATCAAATATTACATTGTTCTAAAGGAGATTATGTTGTGACATTAGAATCAAAATATTCTAGGGACAATATAAGTAATAACCATGGGAACAAAGTTACCAATAATTTTGTAAGAATATATGTAAATTGGGCAGTAGTAAAAGATCAAAGTCAACCGATGCGAGCTAGAATTGCAGGCCGTGTAACTCCTAGTTTAAATCGACCATTGAATAGTTTGGAAATGATAGAATTGCCTTTGAGCGTGCAACCAACATTAATAGCTTGCTGTCAAAGTACTGGAAATTTATTAGTTGCTTCGGGAGGTACCGCTATACTTCACGAATATAAAGTTGAAACACAACAATTATCAAAATTGAAATTTATAGATTTTGAGGCAAGGCCTTGGTCTTTAGGATTCTCATTTTCACCTATGCGTATGGAAATAGCGGAAGATTTTATAATTATTATGGATAGTACCAATTTATGCGTTTTTCGATTAACCAATTCTATGTATGAAGATATAGATCAACTTAGCTCATTAACGTCTACTAATGAATCATCATCAATTGACAAAACTTCAATATCTAATGACTCATCGCTTATAGATAATAATCATACGTCTAGTAATCAGGACCAAGAAACAATTGCTCAAGGAACAAATTTGAAGCACAAAACTTCAGAACAGCATCTTACGTTAGAGAATAATGATGCATCAAGTACAAAGAGTAAAAACAAAAAGAACGTAACGCCAAAGATAAATGCATGGTGCAAATCAGAGACAACAGATATCAAGAAAATAAAATCAAAAAAAAATAATGAACTTATCGACTGGGATCATTTGATATATAATGAAAAAGAAGAATTACAAAGGTTAGTTGGTCAAGAAATTATCGATACAAATTCACAACCATTGACTATAAATTTTCCATCAATAAGTTTAGAAAGAATCGGTCCTGGACATACTCTTAGTCCTTTCACTTTAAATCCACCGGATATGAAGGTTTTTATAAAAACTAATTCGCCTGATTCTGGTTGGTCTGAAAATTATACTGTAAAAAATTTACTATCTCTCAGAATCGCTATCACTAATAATAAATCAGAAGTAGATAGAAACATGGAGTATTTCAAATGTTCGGTGTTAAAACCATTATATATGAGAAAAGAATGTAATGGATCTTGCATAAAGAAGTCAATTTTAAGATCTGATAAATACAAATACTTGCAAGGTGTAAGTTGCTTTGTATGTACAATACAAGAAGGATATCTTTATCATTTTTCAGCAACGAGTACTAATCCTTTAGACGCAACTTGTTTAACAACTTATCCATTTACCGCACCCGTTAATCACGTTGCACTCGAGCATACGGTACTTCATGCATTGACTGACGTTGGTTTAGAATCTTACACATTACGCTTATCTCATTATGTAGCAAAAATGTTAAATGATATTGATCAATATAAAGTGACCTGTCCAAATATCACAGAACCTGTATGTCTGATAGGATTGAGACCATTTTTGGGTATACAAAAGCTATTGCACACAAAAAGTTATTTAGTTTTATTAGCTAAAGCTGACAATTCTTGGACATTATATTCATTAATCCTACCTAAGCTGGAGACTGTATATTATGATATTCTAAATGCTGCAAGAAGCCATAAATCATCGAGTCCAAGTACATATAGACATTTATTGGGTGAGGCTCACGCATTAATACGCTTAGCTAAAGATAGTTCTTACTGTGGTTTTGATAATGATGACGATGATGCTGCACACAGAAATTGGTTGAAATTAAAAAATTTGTACAACCAATCTTGTGCATTATTGGGAGATTATTATATACGTTCAGAATATGAATCAGATTGGGAACTGTGCATACCTTATTACAAGATGTCAGGCTTAAAACCTTCTGAAGTGTTATCGAGGAAGTCAACTCAGGATGCACCGGGTCTTATAATATTTTTGACTGACATTCTGTTGATAATGAGATGTGGTACCGAAGCTGATACTCTATTTCAAGGACACAATATTATAGAAATCATCTGCAGATTGAAAAAGCAGGAATTATTGAAATTAATTTTTGGAAGTGTGGTACTGAGAGATTACATGACAGATAAGTTAATAAATTTACTATTATCATATGAGATATGCGATCCAATTCGTCTTGCATTAGCATTGCTGTATGTACAAAATCAAAAACAAGATCATGCTGAAGAAATCCTAGAACATGTTTCTGTACAATGCATTAAAAAAATGATTTTGGAACACTGGGATTTATTATTTGAGATGACAGCAGTAAAGAAAAGAAGTACTCTAGTCCCTACATTTTCAGATTTTGCTGGAATGTTGTTGCATAAGAAAACCATTGCATTTGCTGAGATACTTATACAAATAATAGAAGAAGATAACAATGGTTTATCTTTGCATCAAATCTTACAAGCCTTTTTAGAGTATCTACCTTCTCGCGTTGGAAGAGATGGTCACAATGCTGCAGCAGCCTTACAAATTTTTATAGAAAAATATTTCCATAATTATTTTAACGTTAAATCGATGATCGATCTATCTAACATAAATAGAAATAAAATACGTTCCGATTTTGCTATGGTAGAAGCATTTAAATTATTAGTACGTTCATACTTGGGTAAATTGACGCAAACAAAAATGTACAATATCGAAGGCAAGGAACATAAAGACAATATCGACAGAGATTTTATATTTGCAAAATGCAGGCCACAGTACTTAAATAAAATGCCTCCATATGCAAAGGATTATCAAGCTATTTTAACTAGTAATGATTTCAAAGATTTCATAAATATGACTGCAATGTCTGATATAGGGAAAACCATTCATCCTGAATTGTTCAAATTACAATGTGTGCTATCATATGAATTTATACCTCTTGAATGTTTACAGGAAGTAAAACAATTTCTTGAATCTCAAAATATTGATGGCAGTTTATCACTTAAAACTTTATATATACAAGATACTGAAGAAGTAACATTAATTTTAATAGATAATTGTCCTCAAGCAATTTTACAATATGCAAAGGTAAAATAAGAATCTTATTCATTAAACTAATTATTCTTATTAGCTTATTTTATGCGAAAGCTATATAAGATTTTTGTTTCAATTATTTCAGGATAAATATACGAAAGAAGTAGAGTGGAAATATCTTATCGAGTTATTACAGAGTAGAATTTCTGCATTTACTGAACAAACAGAATTACATTGCTTATACAGCGAAATCATGAAGGGTAAGTTGTGTTATGGAAAAACAATTATTTTTGAATAACTGCACAATATTTATATATGATTTGGTATAATTATTTATTTTTTTTAATTTCTTTTCTTAAAATGCTTAGAAATTATTTATAATTGCAGAAACTTTACATCATTTACCGCACGTTTTACCTTTGAAAAGTCTACATCATATTTTACCAAAAGATAATGCGATGGCTTTTCAAAAATGTACTGAAATGTGTACTCAGATTATGCATGCAGATCATGTGAAATCATTAATAATAGAAACTAGCCAACAATTATTATCAACTTTGAAGTTGTAAAATCATCTTAGGTAATTTTACTTATGAATCACATATAAAGAGACAAATAAATTTGAGGAGGTATATAACAATTATTAAAGGAATTAGAAAGTTATATATGAAATTACATAAATATAATAAAGTACACTTATTTCAAAGAAAGGAATAGAAATCAAATATATCCGATTAAAAAATAAATCCTATAACATGTATGTATTACATACTGCTATTAAAAAAAAAAAAAAAAAAAAAATATATATATATATATATATATATATATATATATATATTTTTCTTTTTATCCGTGTAGTTCTGTCTTTATATTTACTTTGATAATAATTTTTTTTATTTCGTCAATTGCCAAATTCGAGTTATTTGTTTGTTCCTGTTAGATTTTACTACATCTTAAAATAATTTACTGTGATATTAATTTTGATAAATTGTTATCTTATATTAATTCGGCATTATTAATATATAAAAATTAATTAGTATAATATTATTTCAATTTCAAACGAATGTACTTTTCAACAACAGCATCCTATTTTTCGTCAAATATTTGAAAGGTATATCTATAGCAAAACGTGTTGAGCATATTCTTTGATTTATGGAATGTTATAAATTAATTGAAATGAATTAAAAGAAAAAAGAAAAAAAAGGAGAATATATAAATGAAAAATTATGATATAATCAGCTGTTGCAATGTTCTATATAGAGAGATCTATTGTAGTTTACATTTAAATATATACTGTTCTGAAGCAAATAGGATAAACAAATTCTTATTCTTAAAAATAATGTATTTGATTAAAAAATTGGATAAAATGAAATCTCTTACATTGAGTATGTGTCTTGTAATTTTGATATATTTCATTTGTAAGAATTCTCCTAAAAACTATATTTATGCATGTGTAATAAAATAGTATATGGTATACACAATAATATTCAGATAATACAAGATTTTTGCATATTTTACATTGTTAAAGTAAAACTGAGTTATGTCTTACTATTTCTGTAAATTTTTTTATCTAATAATTCTTAACTTCTCTATCTATATATGATAGTAAATGATCATTAATAATTATTTATGAGTGCGTAACATAACTATTTATACACATAGATTTGCGATTGTAATTCTACTGCTTATATATGTCAAGAATTTTTAGATACACGTGTTTTTATATACATATATACACATATATATGTATATATGTATATATATATATATATATTACTCGACCCTCTTATGAACAAAGGTCATTAAAAAAAACTTCATTAATTTATTTCATAAGCAAAGCATGAATATCTTGAAATGAAAACGATGGATTTTTTTTATATTAAACACATGAATCAATTGATATTAAATACGAGTATAACATTAAATACTACATATTTCGTTTAATTTATACTATAACTATCGATTTTTTTTTATACTTGTATTATAGAATTTTGATATCCTATTTGCTATAGGGAAAAAAATATGTATTATAGAAGTAGTAAACTTCGTTAAAATAATTATTTTTTATTAAATTTATTAATTCTACAGAACCTAGTGTTCCACGATTAATATTTGTATTATAAAATATGTAACTCTTTTTGATGTGCCTTTAGGAATAATTTTTCTTTGTTATAAATCCAATATAATTGCGTTAGAGTTCTGAAATATTTATAAATCATTATTGTCAAAAATATATAAATACAAATTTTAATCATATACCACAAAACTTTAGGATTCATTTAACAATCTATATCCATATCCCTTTTTTTTTTTTTTAATAAAAGATATAGTCAATCTATTTAGTAAAATTAAAGAAATAATTTTATTTAAGGTAGAGAAAATAATTGTATGAAAAAAAGTAATGCGATAATTCTAATATAAAAACGAATTATTAATATTTATTTAATATTAATTTAATCTAAATCATATATTGTGCTTGCACAATATTCATAAGGAATAAATGAAGAAATTAGAATTATTTTTAAGAAAAAAATCAGAGAAAGAGTTAACTGATATTTTTAAATAACTTTCATTTCCTGGAATATTAATGAAAAAAAATATGTAATAATATTACATTTTTATTCACTTACCATGCAGCGTGTCACACTGTATTAATATGAGATATATTCTTTAATATTGGATAATGGCCAGCATTGTTCCATTAATACATAGAGAGTAATGATTTTTATTTTAAAATTAAAGATTAATTTTTTTATTTATATAATTGTGTTATTTTTCATCGCACTGTGTTTTCCATTCATTTAATCTGTATAGAATAGTGAATTATTTGTCTCAACAATAAATTGGCACAACAATAAACTTCGCTAATAACTGTTTCTTCACAACAACTTCATAATTGAGTATGATAACTTTAATGATATTACAACTGAGTTATGAAAGTAATAATATTTTCATCCAACAAGATTATTACAGTTGAACTTAATAATTCATGTATTAGAACAATTAATAAATTCCATTGTGGTTAAGTTCCAGTACTATTTTCATGATGTGTGTTATATATATGTAAATATAGTATCAAAATCACCCTTGTAAGATCAAAATATATATAAATAGAAAAGTTGTTTGAACGTTATGTCATGTACAATTACACGCATATATATAACTGTTTCGTGATTTATTTAAAATATCTTTTATTTCATTTATTCTATATCTCAATAATGAAAAAACCATATTTCTTTTATAATAACTACATCCCAGAGGTTCCAGAAGTATACATGCCTTTATATATAATAATGCAGTTATTTCATGCTCAAATCATTGCTATCTCTGTATTTTCTGCTAAAGGCAGGAACTGCCTATACAATCTCAAATTCTTTATTTAACTTTGACAAATCTCTGCAACAAAGAAAAGCTTAGAACGTAATTGCACAGTACTTATGTATTGTATAATATGAAAAATAATATATATAATATGTGTATTATATATATATATATTATATATATATATATATATATATATATATATATATATATAATAATAATAATACGAAAAAAAGTAATATTTATAATTAGTCTATTATTAATGAAAATCCTTTTAACATTATTAAAAAGAATACCTATTTTCTATGGCTTCATTCAAATGATATTTGTGCATCAATGATAAAACTAGCCTGAGAGTTGACCATATCGTGTTCGACATTGCTTTAGGTGTTATGTATTCTCCTTGAACTCCTCTACCAGCAGCTTGTTGATTCAAAGCTGTTAGTAAATGTTCTCCAGCTTCTCTATATATACATATACATATACATATACATATACATATACATATACATATACATATACATATACATATACATATACATATATATATATATATATAAAAAAAAGAAGAACAAAAGAAGTAACAATTCAATATATAATTAGATATTACGATATATCAATATAAGATATACAATTTCTTTATTTACTTATATGCTCCTAAATTAACACAAGAGATTCCAAGATTATAACGTGCTCTGATAAAACCTGGCGATAATTCTAAGGCACGATGGTACGCATTTATTGCTTCTTCTGAACGCTGACCATTGGCTAATGTCGCTCCTAATCGATTCCATAATCTAGAATCCTTAGGAAAAAAAAAGTAAATCGTATTTTCTCTTTTAACAAGTACAAAAGTTTTATATTATTATGAATAAAAATATTCTTCATTTCAATATAACGCGCGCTATACATTTTTATATGGCAAATATATACATACATCAGGTCGAACTTGTAAAGCAGCTTGAAAGCAATCAGCAGCTTTATCATATTCGCTGGATAAATTGAATAATACACCAAGACCGCATTGCACATCGGCATCTATTTGGTCTCGAGGAATCATTCTAGCTGCTTGTATATATAATTTTTGTACTTCCTTGTGTACATCACTATAATAAAAACAAGAAAAAGTTTTTTTCTCTGTTATATATTTATTATATATATTTAATTTTTACGATATTGAGCTTACTCAAATAAAATTGTTGATACACTGGATCTTGGGTTGTGCTCTGTGACAGTTTTTGAAATCGAAAGATGCTTATATTTCTCATTCTTCAATAGCCATTCTTTTAGTGTTAAACATGCTTGTTTTTGATAAGATTCATTTGTATAAGAAACTGCAAGGGCCATAAGGGCTGTCCCATTTAAAGGGTCAAGTTTCAGGCAACGTTTTAACGCAGAAATAGCTAAGGGATCTTGTTCATTTTCTGCTTGAGTCTTGCCAAGAAGTAACCAAGCTTCAGAATTATTTTCATCTTGTTGTACCGCCGCTTCAAAACAAAGAACTGCACTTGATAAATCACCTACATTCAGTCTTTTTATACCTTCCCCTAATGCATCAGGTAAATTCTTCATAGGATTCTCATTATGAAACGCGTAATCCTTAAATGGATCGTAATACGCTTCATATTCTGATATCCATGGATGTACGGTAGAAATATCATCCGATGATGATATCTTATCCCATTCATTTTGAAGACGCGTCCAAAATGTAGACTCGTAATTGTCAACATCTAATATAAAATAATCATTGAAATTTTACGCATAATTTTGACTAAATATTTGAATAATAAAACAAAATTATATTATTTATTTACCCGCAGAAAATATATTTTCCTTTACAAATTCATCGATCCAAGTACCAGCTACAGATAAATCTTCTTCTACTTGATTCAAAACTTTATTTTCATTGTTACTATTCTCAGATATATTTTCATTACGTTTTTGCTTGACATATCCTTCTGGCCAATTATCCTCTGTATTATTAGAATCTGGTAATGACAATTCAACATTTTTTATTGGAACTTCACCCTCCTGTCTCATAAATTTCATAAATTTAGAATACACTAAATTAGAATTTTCATTATTTTCTATTGTTTCTGCTACTTCATGCTTGGGAATATTGTTTTCTACATTATCTATGCTATGTTCTAAATATTCTTCTGCCCATTTTGGATCCAATCCAAATTCGTGAGTTTCTTGAGCTTGAATGATAGGAATTTGATTGTTTTTTATTACTGATGTATTCCAAATATCATCCGTGTGATGTTCCTGTAAGAATTTTTCATTTTAATATCAAACATATTAAATCTAAATAATATTAATTATAAAATTATAAGATCTGAATGTGTGTAAAAAGAGAATTAAAAAGTAAAAGAAAGTTACATCAAAGTGTCTTCCAGATTCTAAATATTGATTTGCCCAAGAGGTATCTAAACCAGTTAATTCCTTAACTACTCCTGGCGCTGCTACAGGTGGTTGAATATTTTGATCGATTTCACGCATCTCTTGTAATAAATTATCCATTCGAAATGTTTGTGGACATGACGTTTCTTCGATAAATTGTTTCACTAACTGTTCAGAATCTGTGGCTTGAAATGATTCTGGTGGTATAAAAGGACGATGTATTCCTTCTTCCTTGAAGCCATGATCTTTCACAAAATGTGATGTAAGGCGAATTAATGAACTGGGAACACCACATTCTCCTTCTACTAATTCATGAAATGCCATTGTGTTTTTTTTTAACTGTAGAAAACAAATTTGTATAACTGTATAATAAATATTGTATTATATTCATGCTTAATAAAATATTACTAAGTCATTTTATTATTAAAATTATTAGTTATTAACCTAATATTATTTCTTTTTAAATATAAAATTAAGACTAGGAACCTTTGACCATTAGAAATTATAAATAAAATAAATGACATGATGTCACATAAGATTTAATTTTATAATTTTTAATGATTTTTAATTATGTAAACTGTAAAAAATATAAGGATTATTACTCTGTTATATCACCCAAATGCAAAAGTGTTAACATTATAGTATATCCATTATTAAATTCCTGTCTTTCACAACAATCTATTTTTAATGATTATACTATTTACTGGTCTCTGTTAATAATATACAAATACCTATTACATTTTAGAATATGTTTATTTAAATCATTATTAAATCAAATTAAATAATAAATAATATATTTTCTCGAATAATTTTAATCGTGTTTATAAAACGACTAACATTTAATATTTACTTTCGAGCTATTCACGCACGTCTCCTGTCGACGAATAGAGATAGATGATAAGAGAAAAGGAAGGAGCATACACATCAAAAGTGACACATCACATCTGGAACTTTGTACAACTGCATAAAAAGTCCATTTTTGTTTTTATATCGACCGTCAATGTGGGATATTGTGAGCTGTATTTTAAAAATGGTGTACACTGCGTAAATATTAATAATGATGTTGTTAGTATATTTGGAAGATTAATAATGGAAATATATGTATTTGATTTGATTTCACTTACAAACTTCGTACCAATTAATAATACGAAAAAAGAGTATAATGAATTATTCAATTGTGCAAATATTTAAATGTTACAAACCTTCGTTTCACTAATAATAATAATCTAGTAATTTATTTACTCTTTCTTTTAATGCAATCAGTTTATGCTATGTCAAATACTAATATTTAGACATATGTATGCGCATTTAATATTGAAACAACATTGATTAATTGTTTAAAATGTAATTGGTATGGTAAGCAAGTGTGACGTGCATAAAAAGACCATAGCAAGTCACTGTCATATAATGCGATCGAAGAAGATAATGTTAGGCCATGTTAAGCCGTTAACACAGCCGGCCCAATTCACATGAATTGGGAATACAATCTCTATGCATAGAAACTATATATATTATATAACAAGTTAATTTGTATGGACAGAATAACAATCGATGTTTTCAACTTCATATTCTCAATAACTATTTAAACAGATCTAAAAAAGAATGTTTTTCTTTAATTAACGATAAATTTCTTTTTGCAAGCATATATTTTATATACACACACATACACACATATATATATACATAACATATATATATATATATATATATATATGTATATATATATGCCATGTACATCACTTATTGCAAAGATCAATAAGCTGCATGCTCACAAAAATTGTTCTCGCGTCGCCATTTTGTCAAAGTAGTTCAATGAGATATAGGGAATCGCGATTGGTCGACATGGTTGATCACCATTGGTCGGTCCAATGAGTCACGTACCAATCTCGTGCTGAGAAGACGACGTCGTCCTGTTCGTTCATTTTCTCTTTTCAGAATATATTATTTTTTTATTATAATTTTAATTATTCCCTAAGGAAAATATATCAGTCATTTCAATAAAAATATTAATGAAATATTTACATTTTAAGTACACATTCGTGGTATCGGTCGTTGCACAAATCATACATACTTTTAGTGAATATGCTATCGATTCACGTTGTATCATGATTATATTTTGTTTGTATGCATATGCATGTACGTACAATTTATTAGAAAAGAATACAAATATTAATTATATGTGAAAAATAAAAGCCCACAGAGTTATACTATCTATAATGATAAAATTTGGTGATAAATTTACAAGAATTGGATAAAAGGAAGTCCTTTTCAAATAATATTTCTTATATCATAAACTGTTCATCCTTGATAATGCCGGTAATACGTGTTCTCAGTAAAATTTAAATATGGAATCGAACTGTCAAAGTTCAGATTTAAATATGAAACATATGCTTGGTCAATTAACGGCGGCTAGAAACGAGATTAATAATTTAAGGTACAATTTCTTCTAAAATTTCTTTTTTTCTTTTTCCCGATTATTTTATAATCATGAAACTTGGAAAGAATTTGGTATCGCGATAACCTGCTAAACATAATATCATTAATGTATAATTTTCAGGCAACAAATAAAAAACTTGCGATATATGCATGAAAAAGATATTAATAATATTAAACGTCTCTTGGAATTAAGTAAAAATGGTACAACTAATTTGGAATCCAAGAAGATACCTCTGGAAGAGGTAAAGCCTGGTACAAGTAACGAAGGCGATACTTTAAAGTTGAAACCTATTGGGATGATATCTACCTGCTTTCCCAATAAAAGAGGTGTACCACGACAGCCTGGAATTTCTGGAAGAACGTCTGGAAAGATATTACTTCATAATTCTGTGTTTACTAATCCTGATCACGCGCTGCAAGGTTTACAAGATTTTTCTCACCTATGGTAAATTTAAATAGATAAATAGATTTATATTATATCATATTTCTAAATTATTTAGCAATTAACATAACTTTTTGTATTAGGATTATATTTCATTTCCATAGAAATGATTCGACCCACATTCGTGCTAAAGTGGCTCCACCAAGATTGAACGGTATCAGAACAGGCGTGTTTTCTACGCGTTCTCCTCATCGCCCGTGTCCTATCGGTTTAAGTTTGGTGAAAATATTAAAAATTGATAATTATACCATTTACTTTGAGGGCGTTGATATGGTAGATCAAACGCCTGTATTAGATATAAAACCTTACATTCCACAATATGACAATCCATTGCACGTAGAAAAATTGTGCAATAGATTATTAGACTTTCCTATGAATGAGGTGGAATCAGTCGAGTATATGGAAGAAAGTATTAATTTAATTCAAGATCAGACATCAAATTTAAATACCAATATTGGATCCAATAACGATGCAAGAAATAGACTTTCCGATTTATATCTTAGAAATGGTTCTTATAACATAGTACAAGAAGCAGATGTTTCCAGAGATGAAGAAATTGCACTTAGATTACAAGCAGAAGAGTTCCAAGGATATCCTAATTTGGAAAATTATCTAGAATCAAGGAATTATATTCAATCATCAAATCTTAATTCAGAGAGTACTTTACAAAATAATGAAAATACTAATTCGTATGAAATATCCAATACAATTGTAAATACATCATCTAATTCAAGATCAGATTTTACTGCAACACTCGAAAATAATACATACGTACGTAGTTTAGAATCAGATTCGGAAGATATAGGAGTTTTGAATACCAGATTACAAGATGTATCTTTTAACGATCAAAATAATGTGGACTCAATTTATACATTGAGAAACGATAGAGATAATTACGCAGAAATTCATACTTCTCGTAATTCCAGACTTCTGGATGGAGCAGATGGACCGAATACCGTTTGCGGTACAGATTTAGATTTATTGCATAGATGTGCATTAAATTCAAGAGTTGATAATTCCCCAGTACGTATGGGTATTCGGGAAGCTCCTGATGGGGAAGAAGGTTTTCAACCTCAAACTTTAACACCTTCTCAAACTTTATCTAATTTTCCAGTATCTGTAAGAACTACTACGGATAATAATTCATTACAAAGAGAGGATATCAATTTAATAGGTTCTACCGAATTGAGAGAAAATGCTTCCTTTGAAGTTAGAATTCCAGAATGGATATCGAGACCAAATATACGAACACTGTCTGTAGTCTTTAATGAACGAGCTTTGACTCATTTGAATGAAATATTAGAAGATAAAGCAGAAGAAGAAAGAAGAGCCATCGAGAGTGTTCTTCGAGAAGATCCACGATCGGTATATTTGAGACAAAGATGGGGAAATCAGTTTTATACCTTTTTAATTCACAATTTACACATTACTTGTAAATTTGATGATAGTAGGGGTATAGTAACCGTCTTTCATGTACGTCATGCAGGACGTGTTTGTGAATGTGGACAACCAGAATGGCAATGTTTAGGCCATTCGCCTATATCTTAATATACACGATATATATATATATATATATATAACTCATATTTTATTTATATATTACATTTTCGTACCTCTAATAGGCATCGTCAGATGAGTAATAGTACGACAGAGAGAAACATATTAATAAGAATTTGAGTTATATATTCTTTATGAATTTTGTTATTCAAAGTTTATGACAAAGTTGTTCACTTCTTCGTTCTTTCCCTATATATACATGTGTGTATATATACATATATATATATATATATATATATATGTATATATATGTATATATATGTATATCACCACATCTATTGTTGCAATATATAAGTTCCTACGCGTGTCTTTCGTTTTTTACATTTCATTCATTATAATTTATTATATATGGAAAATATATAATACTTTAGACGCAATAATATACATTATTGCAATTCTGCCACAGAATGATATTCCAACATTCTTTGTTTCTATATCAAAATAATTAACAATTAATAAATGTATTATGTATACATTCGTATCGTTGAATCAGCTCCTGCAGAAAAGACCCACGGTTGAGTAGGGTGAAACATGACGTCCAAAATTCCAAAATCATTATATGATTCATGATTACATAATCTTTTCAATGGTACTATTAAAGGATTTTGTAATAAATCACTGAAAATGAGAAAGACATTAATAATATTAATACTATATGAAAAAGAAATGGTGAATAAAACACATTGGTTTCATCTTACTTGTACACCATTCCATGTGAAACAATGAGACTTTTATCATCGGCACCAGAAGCAAAAAGTGGATAACGCTTATGAAAAGTTACACCACGTACGCCTGTACCATGTAAACGTAACGTTTGATATGGCTTCGTACTTAAATCCAAATCGAACCATAACATTTTACGATCATAGGTGCCAACCAAAATATTGTCACCGCCTAAAATGATTATATAGAGTAGTATAACGGATGATTTAATAATATATATAATATTAAATTATACAGTTCTAAGATCAAATACCATACCAGGATGTATTGCCATTGTTGATATCCATTGTGAGTTTGACAATAGTTTTTTCACCATTTCTTGTTTCACTAAATCATATATTCTAACATTTCTCTGAGTCTACAAATAATATCATGATAATATAAAAAAATACAATTAATTATATATTTAATTTAAGTATAATATGTAACATACCGCAACAAACAGAAAAGGTCTTATTGGGTGGAACAATACACATTGTATTAAACCTTTTGATCTAGTGAATGGTAATTGAGATCTTCTTTTTGATAATTGATTTATTAAAACAGATCTATTTTGTCCATCAGGCATAACTACGGCAAAATAATCACCTTTACCATGCCATGTTACTTGCTTTACGGTTTTAAAATGATTTAATATTATTCTAATTCCTTTATTCCACGATTCATCCTCTGCCTGTTGTTCCCATTGTACAGCTGATCTTACTCTTTCGCTAACTATTGAAATAATATATAAATATAATATTAGATGAATAAATGCATGATAAAAATGATCAAAAAAGTAACAACATTAATACCTATAACATCACTTTGTGGTATTATTTCTAATAATTGATCTGTTTTAGTAGTAATAAGATGATCACCAACTCCTGGATTTATTAAGAGAACTTTTTTATCCGCTGCAACAGCTATGAGAGACATTGCTTGATTAGGACACCAAGCAACACTTCTAATTACACCATTGCAAGGCACTGTTTTTGTACATCTGCCTGTAGCTATTTCCCAAACTAATAATAAGAAATATAAGAATCAAACTCATTGCGAATACTATAAAAAAAAAAAAATCATAGTTGTTAATAAATAAACATATAGATTTCTACTTTTCAACGTCATGTCATCTCCACCAGATGCAATGTACTGTCCAATTGGATCCACTGTAATACTTCGAATCATATCTGTATGACCTTTAAAGACCATAGACATTGTAGTTGGAAATGGTTGCAAATCTTTTGGACTAGGTAACTGTGGTACCAAAGCTTCAGGTTCTATCGTCAATCTCATTTTTAATGCTCTAGGACACAAATACAAATCTAGACATCTTCGGAATCTTTCCTTGATATATTTAGGATATGCAGGTACTTCTCTTAAAGAAGTATATTTTTGTGGAATAAAATGTAACTTCCTTTTCCATGGAGTTGTCTTTAATTTATTCCATTCTTTAAGTTCTTTCTTATCGAATAGATATTCTGGCGGAGGATTATAACTCTCTGCATGACCAGGCAAATGTCTTTTAGGTGCCGGTATATGTTTGTGAATCCTACGCATTTCTTCAGCTTGATCATCAGATTGCCATAGCATATAAAAGTCTGGTGCTTTACCCTTTTGTTGTTTCTCTTTTTCCATTTCAGCTGTGGATTTCATCCAGCCCATTTTTAATGCATGTACCAATTTTGATACTTTTTTGGCTTCTGGTTTAGAAGGTAAGAATGAACGTTTGTGTTCGGGAAAATTACGAAGTGGTGTTTTCATAACTTCTGAAGTAAACCATTCTACCCATGGCTATACATTTAATAGAACATAATTAAAAAGAAAACAAAAGATTTAAAAATAATTTTATATCACAGAAATATTACACTTACAGTATATTCGTCGAATTGTACATCAGGAATTTTTTGCTTTTGTATCCTAGTAATTAACTGTATGTCAGTTTCGCTAAGTACAACATCTTGTCCAGTTTGAGGATCTTTTATTGTTCTCCAAAAATCTGGATCCTCCATACGCTTTAAGAAATTATCCAATTGATCACCTTTCTCAGGTTTCAATATTTTTTTACCTTCCCAGCTATAACCAATATGATCATATTCGTCATACCATTTCATAGGTATATTACCCACGGTATTACGAATATCCTCTTCATCTGAACTGTCATATTCATATTCGTCATCTACATAGCAAGAATAAAATTATCATTCATATATTTGATTCTATGCTTAATTCAATTTATCTGACTTACCATTATCTTTACCATTCGATTCAGTGCCCTTAACTGATTCTGTTTCATTTGAAACGTTTACTTGATTATTCTGAGGATCAGTATCATTCTCCTTTTCTAGTTTTTTATTACATCTTTCATATTTTGAAGATTCTCCAAAATTTAATTTCGCTTTTACCTTGTTTAATTTATTAAAATTATTTACGTACTTATTCTTCTTACTTTTCTGTTTAAGGTCTAAATCTATTTTAGTTTCTTTAACCTTACTTTCATTTTTAGTTTTATTTTTATATTTATTAACATCATTTTTTTTCTGCTTTTCCTCTTCGTTATTATCGCTTTCTTCTTCTTCTTCTTCTTCTTCACCTTCATCCTCATCCTCTTTTTCTTTATTTTCCTTGCTATCATCATCTTCCGAATCAGTCTCAAATTCTAATTCACTACCTTCTTCATCTGATGTGAAAACAATTGGATCTTTTTCTACATCAGATTCAGGTATATCATCGTCATTTTCTAATTCTTCATCTGTGCTATCTTCGTTACTATCTAGTTCAGTTACAAGTAAATCATCACTGTCTGAATCCTAAAATATCAAAATTGTAAAAAATCGAAAAAGATAAATAAGTCAAAAAAAGGTTATACCTCAGTATTTTTCAAATCTTGTGAAGCTTTAGCATTTTGTTGTTTGTCAGTATTGATTTTTATATTTTCTTGCTTTCGTTTCAAAAATTTCTTTTGCATTCCCATTCTCGTTTTCTTTTTCAGAACCTAAAAATTAGTTTACAAAGTATTTGAACACATGGTCACACATATTCATTGTAGCTAAAGGAGATGAACATATCGATAGAAGAATAGAAACAGATGATATTGTATTAGAGCGACACTAGTGATTCTTTGAAGGAACTAAAATTGCATACTTAAATGCACTTAAACTTATAAATATTTAATTTTAACATAAAATGATTATTGAAAAAAATTAATGACATTATAAATGTTCATGTTATTAAATTATTTATGATTAAGTGAGTAAATTATTTTAATCGGGATACACGTATGTGTGTGTGTGTATATATATATATATATATATATGTATATATATGTATATGTATATGTACGTATATATTTTTATTCCTACTTCGAGGAAATAAATTTTGCAATAAAATTTAAAATAAATATAATTATTCGTATTCTGAAACAAGTGTTTATAAACTATATTTTGTAATATTTATAAAGTAATTTAGAATTATAATTAATATTTTACCAATTATTTCTAAGCAAGGCCAATAGCGGGAGACACAAAACTTCTTAACCTTTTTGAATATACGATCGGTGTATATACATAGATACATATGCATACGATAAATAGCAAAGTAAATTGCCTTAAATAAAATTATTAACAATGTTCGAAGCACATAGTATTAATGCGGAACATAAGGATTTAATTCATGACATTGCATATGATTTTTATGGGCAACGAATGGCAACATGTTCAAGTGATCAATTTGTAAAGGTATTGATATGTGTTATTGAAATAAATATAATGAAAACTATTGAATATACTCATTGAAACATAGGTCTGGGATGAAGATGAGCATGGAAATTGGCACTTGACTGCTTCGTGGAAAGCGCATAGTGGATCAGTTTGGAAAGTTACATGGGCTCATCCTGAATTTGGTCAAGTTCTTGCAACTTGTTCTTTTGATCGTACTGCAGCCGTTTGGGAAGAAATAGGTATATATATCATAATTTTTGTCTTATGGTATTATGTATTATATTCTTTCTTCGTATTTAATACAGTTGAAGGATCAGGATCGGGAGAGCGTGGTATGCGCCATTGGGTTAGAAGAACAAATTTAGTAGATTCCAGGACATCTGTCACAGATGTTAAATTTGCACCAAAAATGTTAGGACTTTTATTGATTACTTGTAGTGCAGATGGAGTAATCAGAATATACGAAGCACCAGATATCATGAATTTGAGTCAGTGGACTTTACAACATGACATTAGTTGTAAACTTCCATGTAGTTGTCTCACGTGGAATCCATCGTTATCAAGGTAAAATAAATGTTACCATGTATAAGAAGAAATGTTTGATTTATACATTCTGGAATATAAAATCTTATATATATAAATAATGTATTCATATATACATTAGATTACATCCACCAATGATAGCAGTTGGAAGCGATGATACAAATTCATCTAGCGGAGGAAAAGTTTTTATATATGAATATTCTGAGGGTAGTAGACGATGGACAAAAACTGAAACATTGTCAAATATTACTGACCCAGTTCACGATATCGCGTTTGCACCTAATTTAGGTAGAAGTTTTCATACGTTAGCAGTAGCCACAAAGGATGTAAGAATAATTATTTTAAAACCGATGCAGTAAGTAAATAATTTTTCGAATTAGAAAAAAAAGAAAATAATATAGAGAATATTTATCACGATATTATTTTAATTATATCTATAGGGAGAGTGCACAAAATGGTTTATCACGTTTCGAGATAACCACTGCTGCACAATTTGATGATCATTACACTACAGTGTGGCATGTATGCTGGAACATTATGGGAACTATTTTAGCAAGTTCTGGTGATGACGGTTGTGTTCGATTATGGAAAGATAATTATATTAACAATTGGAAATGCGTTGCTGTTCTGAAAGGGGACGGTACTTCTGCTCAAAATGCTGAAACTCCTGCTGCAGCTACTCCACCTAATCAACCCACAGGAATTCCACCACCTTCTACCGCAAAATACTACAAATTGGGTTCCATCAGTCATCCAAATCAAGTACCTTGGCATTAGAATATACTTTAGAATAGAAAATAAGATTGATTTCCATTTAAACACAATCAATAATCATATGATCTTTGTTATTATGATGACAAATACATGGATACATATTGAAATTATATCTCCAGCACATACATTTTATCAAATAAAAAGTATTATTGTGCTGCTTTTTTTTTTTTTTTTCTTTTTTTTCTTTCCTTTTTTTTCTTTTCTTTTTTTTCTTTTTTTTCTTTTTTTTTTTTTGTGAAAGTATTTACATTTGTCTTGCTATTACAACTAAATTTAAATTTTCACAATAAAGTATCTTTTCAAAAGTATTATGAAATGAAAATGCGTGGATATCGTTAATGATAGTTTCAGAGACCATATTTATGATTATTTATAATTATCAATATTGTTCTCTCTTCGTTATTTTGGAGTAATTAATGAAGTATCTCCTCTATGTTATTATTTGAATTATGTGCAGAGAAAAATGAACCTGATGTTTCTAATTCTTCAGTTGTAATACTATAACTGAGATAAAAAAGCTATTGAGAGAGACATAAAGGCCTATGTTATCATACTTATAATATCATTATCACAAAAATATTATTTGGGAAAAAGAGAAAATAATTAAACATTACAATAGTTTATAAACTTATACTTTTATATGTACATTATAGAAGTTACTTTCTGATAAATTTGTAAAATATTTTACTATTAATAAAAATTTATATATATTATTAAATACGCTTTTATTTTTTTCCTAGAGAAGAACTATTTTTCTTCGCAGTATAACATGAGATGTAAATTTGTTTTTTATGAAGAATTATGAGATATACTTAATATTGAAAACATTTTTACACACATCTATGTAGTTTATGATAAATGAAAAATTAATTTGTTAATTCTAAGTTCTATTTAACGTAACTTCCTTATAACTTATCTATTTATCTCTTAATTCATTTAATATCTTCTTTATAAATAATTTTTAGATTTTCATATCATATAGCTTTAACGAAGTTCGATTTTACAAAAATCCGTCTTATTAAAAATCTCTATTATTATTAATGAAAAACTTTATTTTAGTTGTCGATCGTACATTGAACTATACTAAGTAAATTTTATTCCATTTTTAAGGTTGTAACCACGGCTACGATCACTGCAGAAAAACCTACGACTACTATTATGTGCAATAATAAATGGCAAGCACCTGTGATAAAAGGTCGTTTTAGTAAATCAGTTTGGCTGGGCAATCCTGGTGAATCATCATTACCACCACTTCCACTTTTAGAACGTCCGAAGGTAAAAAAATAATTCTATTTGATGCTCATTATAATAATGTGATGCTTTTTTATAATACAAATTAGAATAAAAAATTGTTTATGCGTGATTGTATAATTATAAGATTATATTCAAATAAGATAATGTAGAATATCAACTATCGTATGTAATGTTTAATATACTTATCTACCTGTAACAATTGTGTGTTACAGATTAGTAATTTATTATTTATATGAACTGCCAATATTTGTTACATGTACAAAGTAAATTTAAGTAAAGACTGTGGATATTATGCCTTCACATCAATAACTTGTTTATATTGCAGATACATGTATTTATCTGTAAAGGGATTTATATAATATTAATTATATACATGCATACATAAATACATGAATACATACATACATACATACACATATATATATATACATATACATATACATATACATATACATATACATATACATATACATATACATATACATATACATATACATATACATATACATATTCTAAAACATTATGGGAAAATTGAATAATATAACATATATGGTATTAATAAAATATTATAAAGTTAAAATATAGTAACATATATACTAATAAAGTAATACATACTTCACTATAATTGTAGCAGAAAGAAATAGTATTGATATAATAAATGGCACAATTTTCCTTTCTACCACTCCATTTATTTATTATATCAAACAACTATATATACACTAATAGTATTTATATTTTATATGGGTGATTTATCAAATCCATATTTTGCAAATTCATTGCCTTTGCATCGTATCTCAGTGTTGGGAAAACCTGGATCACTTGGAAATTGTTTAATACGTGAAAATGAAGTTCTCCAGCCTCCTGATTTTATCCATTCCTAAATAAAATAATATAATTATATCATTAAGCAGATCATAGTAACACAAATAATATAAAAAGTGCAATAAATTATAAACTAAACTTGTATTATTAGAAAATCATTAATATCGATATCAATGTAAATGCAAAACTCACGTGTCTATTATATTTAAAGTAGTAATAAGCGGAGTATATGAAAATTATTCCCATAATACTCTTTGCTGCAATGTGACGTAATCCATCAGCCAAAGTAGGACCCTATAATGAAATGATGAATATTATTATTTTGACATCAATTTTTCTCTCAGAAATAAATATAATGAAGATATGTCAAATTACCACTAGAGGAACCAACATATTTTCAAATTTATTCATAGGAGCTCTGTAAAATCTTCTAATTGGATTATATCTTTTTTTATAATAATCTGGTGGTATTATGGGTTCAGAGGGATCTAATATTTGATCCTTTAGAAACTTTGCACGCCATGCACGTTCTTCATCTGTCATACCTATCAAACGTTCTCTTTCTTTAGTTAAACGACGCCCCAATATTATGGCCATGTCCTCCGTATTCTGTGGTGGCCCACTCATGATGTTTATCTTTAATGAAGAATACCAAATTATATTATATTATGCAATTTATAATTTGAGAAATTAAAGTCTTTAAGTTAAAATTAAATTTAAAGTTAATGAAAAACAAAGTTAAAACTTGGTTTTATAATTTTATCTTTTGCTATTATTGTAAAAGACCACTTTAAAAGATTTAAAGAAATAGAATAAAAAGCACATTCAATTTATGTAATTATTAAAAATCATATAATATTATATTATATGATTTTTATTATATATGTATGTTATTATATATACAAAATATAAATTTATATACATACATATATATATATATATTTAAAATTTTAACAACAAAATATACAAAAGTAAACCTTTTTAATGACACCAAATGAAGATATAGGTTAAACCGATATTACGTCACAAGTTAGAAGTCAGTGTTCTATTGATAAGCAATGTAAAGATGTATATATTACCGACAGAGAGTGCATATGATAAAGAAACTTATGAACTTACTAACAAAAATGCACACACAAAGAAATTAATAAATTTATCGGCAACAAACACGGTGATAAAATATATGTTATTATTTTTTTATATATAAATTCGAATAAAATTACGTTGGAATAATTACATAAAAATAAGTAAACTGCATCTAAAATTTATTATATGGTACAAAAAATTTCATTAAAATTGCAAATCTCTAGCATACCAATCAAGCTTAGCGGATAAAATTTTTGATCATTTTAAAAGAAATTATATAAACTGTAACAGATAAATATTATAGCTGTTCGCTAAATCTGGTTTTATAATGGCTTTTACACCATTAATGAGAACAAGCGTAAGACATAAAGTATATACATTTGTCGATTATTTTTTCAAAATTAATAATTAGTGAACATATATATTATATATTATTTTTAATATAGATTAAAACACGAGTTCGTTACCACATAATAAATATATAAGATTTTTCTTTCAGCGTTATTTTGTTATGGTTACCTCTGTAGAAGTTCACTTCATATCATTACTATACTACTACTTTTACTATAATAATATTATATAATATAATAATGTAGTAATAAAAACAGTAATAATAAGAAGAAACAGAAAAATATACTTATATTATGTACATATTTATTTATTATTTTGTATGCATTTTTCGTAAAACAAATGCGTACCGATGTCGTATCTAGCACAGATCACAATGAGACTCACACTACCATCGAAGAAAGATATACATATCAGAGAGAGACTAAAAAGTGCGAGCTCACAGTAATAATAACATTACTTATTCTATCCATACGAAACCAATTGTTATGTACGTATAAGAGGGGAATAACCAACACAAACTGATATGATAAGCGCATAGTGGGGACAGCGTTCCCCGCTTGTATTCGTAGTTCATATTTTATCCATAGTTGTCGCTGAAGTCACATATGCTTCGAACAAGAGGTAGTGAATAACCTTAAAGGAAATACTTGTAGTAACACTAAACACTTTTATTTTCGTTTCTTTTTTTTTCGTACACCTATTATAAAAGAAAAACCAACGTTTGATCAAAACATGATATGCATACCAATAGTTTGGACATTCATAAGTACAAAGAACTTTGAAAAGAGATATGGATGATATATATTAACTATTTGTACAATGATTATATGTCGAGATACTATATGATAATTTAATATGACTAAACTTTTGTTGATATTTATGATATGGATTGCATATTGTTTTTAAAGTTCCAATATGAATGAATTTTGTATATGTATGTATGTACTTTTAAATGACAATGCATATGTTATATACACAATTAATTACTATCATAATTTATCAGAAAAATATCTGAAGTATAATGGCATAATTGTCACAATTATAATATCCCGAAGTATCGCATAGTTTGAAGAATTTCATGTATTATCACTAGACTTGTTAATTTTGATATGTTGAAAAAGTTGTCTGTTCCTGAATATATATATTTATACACACACATATATATATATATATATATATATATATATATATATATATATATATATATATAGGCTTTATGTTTAATGGCTATGCAGTTCATAATCTTTTGTGATGAAGCATAAATAATAGCGATTTAGTAAGCTCAAAATTAAGAACGATTATAAAAAGAAGGTAAAAATTATGTGAATATTGATATTAAACTTTACAACTGAAAGAACATTGAAACATTATGAAATTTTCTAATAAAATGTCTTTTATAATTGGCTTTAGCAAAGTTGATACGATTAAAATATTAATTTTTCTTTCTTGTCTTTGCATAAATTTTGTATCTATGTTTGTTTCTTTTTCTTTTTTTTCCAAGCTGGCACATTCAATAGAAGATGGAAATACATTGTTACTTTAAATCTATGCTATGTCTACATTTTGTAGCGTGTAACATTGGAGGAAGGATAATTATGAATATTATTTGGCTTGTTTTTTTAATTTTAACAGTTATTTCGACTAATGCAAAGTTGTATTTTATACCTTATCTAATTAAGTGTAGTAATTTCGTTGCAAATTTTTTTATGATCTTTTCTTACATCTCTTTTACGTTATTATGTTTTATAATTATGCACACAGAAGTATCTATTTAGATGTTTCTTTTATCCAGAGCTAACATTATTGGTTCTTCGATAGAAATCATGCACGTTTAATATGCATATATTTAAAGCCATATTTAATTGATCAATACCTAACGACTATCAAAATATTTTCCTTACTGATAATATTGTGTTTGTGTATGTGTAAATTAGTGGAAAAAAAAGAAGACAAACTTAATCGAATAATTTCGTTTTTGTTAATTTAATTTAATTTAATTTAATTTAATTTTTAATTAAATAAAAATAATATAAAGGCAGTGTGCATACTATTACACAAAAATGTAACAAGGCATTCAAAAGATTATGTCGATACAAATATTTGAATTTGATGCTGCATATATAAAGTTAATTACAAATAGTATGCTGTATATTTAAAATTATCAATAGATACACAGAAGCAACGCCTAGATACAGAAAAAAAGAAAAGAAAGAAAGAAAGAAAGAAAGAAAAAAATTATTCGTACTATTAAAAATATTTACAATATATTTGCATTTGGCATGCTACTATTAATTCTAAGCAATGAATTGAACAATTTGAAATTTGCATTTTACTAAGTGTTCATGTAGATATGACGTTTGCATTTTCTATCCTTTGATATTGGAGCGTATAGGCCTTTGCAAAATAAAGCTGATATATATTATAATAATAAAGAGTATATGCTTAGGCCAATTTTGAACAATTGTCAAAATAGTTTGATAGCATTTAATTATACTATAACGCGTACTACACATTCTTTTGATCAATATTAAGAGATCTAACTCGATGAATTTGATTGATTGATCCTGTATTCCTGACTTAAAGCTGGGTAACTATCAACAAGTTATTAACAAAAAAATTATGTCCTATAATCATATACAATAGTATATGCAACAGTTTTTCTCTCAGTCATACCATCCGTACAGAGATGCACATTGTCCATTGATGTGCCAACTCAAGATTACGATGGCTCTACATTAATCAACGTAATTGGTGTTCTTCCTTGTGTTATAATCGACAACTTTCAGTTGATTATTGAAACTTGTCTATCTACGTGAAAGCTAGATAAATGGACGTTCACATATATCTAAATAATTTAAATGATAACTGACATCTACTACTTTTACATTTCTCTCTCTCTCTCTCTCTCTCTCTCTCTCTCTTTCTCTCTCTCTCTTTCTCTCGTCTGCAAAACGCAAATAATAAATAAGTTATGTATGTGTAGATATACACGTGTGTGTGTGTGTGTGTGTGTGTGTAATAGTGTAGTAATAATAGTAGTTTTTTTCAATGTAAATCATATTTTGTTTTTTCTTTCTTTACTTCTTCTTCTTTTTTATCTATAAGCTAAGCATTATTATAGATACATCATATTTAAATACAATTTGGATATCAAGGCAAATATGTATTTCTCATATCAATTTGCATTTAAGAGGAAGATCATGAGAAATGCATTGAATTAACGATAGTATAACTAATTTCTTAACTTTGTGCTAACTAGATTTTGACTGTTTCTTTGACTTTCGATTATTATCGATACCTCTCTCTTTCTCTCTCTCTCTCGTCATGCATATGATTCTGTTTGAAGAGACAATGCATTAAAATTCAAATACTGTACAAGATCGCATGTGTCTCGGCTGGACTGTGTATATTAACTTTTTGTATTTCTTTTCTTTTGTTTGTATTTTTTCGGCGAGTATAAATTAAAAACATTCAAATACAGCCTCACAGAGGCTGCGTACACATTGGGGTAGACTATGCTAACCCTTTCACCGCTCTCAGAGCGTCGCACAAACGTACGTATATTACGCACACATACGTACATATACATACTAGATTCTTCCTTCAATACATACTACCTATGTATATATACGTTTATATGCATTATTATTATTATTTTTTTTTTTTTGAATCGCAGAAAAGAGCAAATTCTCATGTAAACATAATCATTTTGAATTTCCACCATTTCAGCCTTTTGATTTGGAAACACAGGCAGTGAAAGGGTTAGATATGTTCTAGTTTTGCGATTGAACTTTCTTTCCACCACGTGGCTTAATACTTTCAGAAATTTGCCACATTGCTTCCTCACAGAGGAAATCACTGAAGTTGTTGAAGAACGTAATAATACGATCGTGTTTCTTGAAGGAGTATGTACTAGAAACAAAATAAACATAACAATTTTTCTAATTACTTTTTTTTTCCAAAGAAATTAATATTTTTAATTATTACTTACCCTTTTTTGAATCTCTTCATATTTTCAACAATATTAAATTGTTGCCATCTTTTAGAAAAATTGATAGTACCGTCCGGTAACAAATCACTGTTCCCAATATGCACAAATGTAAGGTCTTGTAACACAAGCCCACTGAGTGATTAAATAAATAAATAAATAAATAAATAAATAAATAAATAAATAAATCAATCAATCAATCAATCAATCAATCAATCATGTAAATTTGTATGATATATAAAAGAATTAATAATTATTAATAATTTATAATTTGTATAATTCTTACATATATGGGATGCATGGTGGTTGAGTTTCTGCTAAAGCTTGCCTATATGCTCGAAAACTGCTTGAACTATCGATAAGAGCACAATATTCCTTCAAACCTTCCGTAATATGCTTCTGCCATTCAAGTCTTCTAATTGGTGCACTGTCTAATGCAGAAAGCAAGGCAAGATAACTATTAAAATTATTTATTTTTCTAAGATGTTTCATTATTTTAATGAACTTGACAACATATTTTTCTCTATCCTTAGCTTCGTTCTCCAATCTATGCTCTAATATCCTGGATCTAGCCCAATATGACATTTTATTAAAATGTTCTGTGAATCTTGTAAGATTTGGACTTCTCTCTTCATTTTGTTCTTGGGCCCAAATTAATACCTCAGGAATTTCAATTTTCATAAATAAATCTGCGTCTAATAAAGTCATTTGTTCTGCGATTTGTTCGCTTTTAAAATCTAAAAGTGATGCTTGTTTCGTCGTTACACTGAGAGAAGATAAAATTGGTTGTGCGTATTGTAATTGTTTAGCGGCATGCTTTTCTAATATTTTCACTCGTAAAGCTTTAGCCATTGTTAAATCACCACTGCATACTAATTGTTGTACGAATTCCATTAAAGTTTGTAATAAGGTATCGTCAAGATCTGACATACTGCAAGAAAGTATATATAATTATATAATCTTTTTATCTTATCTTTTATGTTTATGATTACTTAATACTCACGTTAAATCACTGACTACTCTAACTAATAAGGAGAAAGCTTCTCGAGCTGCTCGTTGCTTCGTAACATCTGGAGAACAGGAAAAACGTTGATGTCGTTTATGTAATTTTTGAATTAATTCAAGCGGTTGCATAAATGTTCTGTATGTTGTCAGAAAAGCTTCCTGATATAAAAAGTCTGTAACGGATGAGTTAACATTAATATATAAATCTTTTTAATAAACATTTATATCAATATATTAAATATAATTCTCTTATTTAACGCATAACAAACAAACCTGATTCCTTTTCGTCTATGCACAGCATGAAAAAATGTATAATATACTAAATTATTAATAAAATTAAAATAATAAATTAATTTATTTCTACTAATTACGATTAAAATAAATATATACCATGCTTATTTGCTTTGGTAGCATGAATTAATAATGCATCAGGATGTCCACCACGTATATCGGGTCCTTCTTCATCAGATTTTTTAAAAACTAAATATTTACTGATATCTAATTCTTCCAATATATTATCATCCTGATCTATATCCCTTAATTCCAAAGTGTTATCGCTAATGGATACAGAAGAAAGAGCATTACTTGCAGGTCTGGAAGTTGGTAATGCTATGTCTAATGCAGTACCGGTGATATTCTAAAAAAAAAAAAAATATATATATATATATATTTCTGTTAATTGCTATAATATTTTTAAATCGAAGGAGCCACTTTTTCTATTTCCTTTACCAATTTCACTGGAGTTGACGATACAACATCTTTTTTATCAAGAAAAGCATCATTATATGACGACGGCTCATCAATTTTGACAGGAGTCGATGATAAAATTGAATCAGATGTATGTATGCTTTGCATACTAATCGTAGGCTTTGGTGAAACTATCGAAGGTGTAACATTTGATTTGATAGATCGTGATCTCTTTGGTGGTAAAGCCGGAGGAAGACTAGAATTATTTGTTATTTCCGTAATGCTTGGAGTCATAGATATAGAAACGCTATGAAAAGAAAAATATTTTGTGAATTATGATTATTGTACATAAGGATATCATAAGTGATGTTGAATATTTATAAGTGATTTACCTTGTGGTGTCATGCAAGTTAGTTACCGTATGAGCCATAAAAGAACAAGATTGAGTCGTAGTGAGTGCCATTTCATGTTGCTGCCATTCTGCTTGCATGGAATTGTAAGCTGCTACAGAATGACGAGTTCCAAGGCCAGAAATGAAGTCGTTGTTGCTGTGAGAGCAATTTCCAAACATCTCCATGTATGCCATAACTGTAATAAGTATAACAATAAATTACAAAATCCATCAAAAATGAGTTTAAATTTTGAGCGCGCGCGTGTGTGTGTAAAAATTACGATTACGAATCTTGAATGAAAGTTACATTATTTTTTATAATACATAATATGACTGGTTGGTTGACGCAAGCATGATATTTTTTGCTGCAAAAAGATATCAAAGCATACTGTGTATGAATTGAGTAAAGACACTGATGCAAAAGCAAACACTTGTATAATATCAGTATCGTTTGTGTAAAGACGCGTACGAGAAGAGATCAAACTCACTGGAGTAAATTGAACATTTCCACGATATCTCTCTTTTATTATTTACATAATAATTAAATATATCCATATTTTTATATAATTTATATTACACCCGTGAGATGAGTCAAATCGTAAGCTGTAATTAAGGCCGAGAATAAAATAATTCTATTTAAATATAAAATAGAGAATGATAGAGATCATTGTATGTTTGGCAGTATATAAAAATGAAGCTAACAATATAAAATGCCATGCCAAAATAAGCCCGGATCTTAATTCATGTACATACATAATCGTGGAAAATGAAAGACTTTCGTTTTGGCGTGAAAGTGTTTGCTAAGTGTAGTCGATTAATGTGGGCGGCATCCCACTTACCAGAATATGCCACTGATTGGAACACTGGGGATACAAAACATTGCATCAGTTTTTTTTTCTTTTTTTTCTTTTTCTTTTTTTTTCCCGCTATGGGACTAAGAATATCTACAAATTTATATTTTGATATCATTTAAGGTACTTTCACAAGTCGTCACTTCTTTAACTCTCTGTCAAAGTTTTTTTTTCTTTTTTTTTTTTCTTTTCTTTTTTTTAATATCACAAGAGCTTAAACACATTAATTTAAGTAACGAAGCTCCAACGATGTTGCAAGTGCAAAGCTTAAACGCTATTATATCGTCGTTTTTCACATTTCTTAATGTCTTATATTGAATTTTTAAGTAACTTACTATGTTTTTTTTTCAGCGGAAGAGGTGGTGGTTTATTGGTATCCGAGCTATCGCCGTTACTGGTATGCAAACTGCAAGTAGACAAATGTTCATTTTCAGGTACATTGTCGTATTGCGAAGGTTGACGTTCTCTTCTCCGTTTAGATCGTTTTTCTGGTAATGCAGGTGGTATTCCATTAGCATCGGATATAGTAATTGATTCCATTTCCTACGTATAATAGAAATAACATTTGTATAGAAATGTCTATTGTTAAGTTTATCAATGATGCGTATACTCTTACTCACATTTTTCAATTTTTCTAACATAACGGTGTCGCCACTTCCCGTTATATTCATATTATCCGTGGTACTTTTAGAGCTGCTCATTGTTTTTTGCATGAAAACAGAACCATTGCTATCAGATGTAAACTTTTGTTGATAAAGAGATTGTTGTTGGGTACTAAACGTTTGGGAACTATAACTGATACTGCTTTGTTGCGATGATCTTTTTGAAGTTGTACTAGAAGCAGTCGTGTAACTTTGAGAAGAACTTCTTTGAGAATGCATCGACACAAAACCGGATTCATGTGTTTGGGTTGAAAATCTTTCTATTTTTCCATCAATACCTGAAACACAATGATTCGAGGAATACAGTTGAATGTTGTATGATTTTATAATGGTTATTTCTTCTAACGGAGTTACACGATGTTAGTATTCCTTTTTATCCTTAAATGAAACGTTTTATCTCGTGGATTGATTAAGAAGAAAAAAATAAAATGATAGAACTGTTTCATCGATAATGAATCGAACGAATACAATTTTTTTTTTTTTCTTTTTTATACAAACATTAATTATCGACACACGTCTCACATGCATGTAATTATATTCTACACACCGGTGAACGGATTAAGAATTTCTTGGGGTGTTTGTTGTCCTAGTAACATAGTACTTGGTATACTGCTTTCAGAACTATCCCAACAAGCACAATTAGAGGTCCCATTAACTTGCATACCTAAGGTACCAGAGCGTATCGTCGAGTTACGAGATTATTCTTGATAATTTTCCACCAGCAAAAAATATCCTCTTAACGTTTATGGTCGATAAAAATTAAAGAAATGATACAAAAAATTAAATGATGATAATAATCTTTCATTATGACTTACTTTTAATGGTAGCTATAAGACTGAGATCCATACTATCATTGAGAGACTCATCGTTTGGTCCCATGATCGCTCGAATTTCATCCTCGTCACGCGAATGATTTAAAGCAGAATCCAAACTACCAGCTGATGCACTTAAAATAGAAGAAGAGTCTTCCGGTGATCGACTACGCAAGGAAACTCTATCGAGACTAGATGCTAAGAAACTCTCAGACTCGTCGAGCAATTGTTGAGTTCTGGTTCTTCTTTTCGGTGGTAAAGGTGGTGGTGTACCTGACGAACTGTTTTCTTCGGAGAAGCATACGTTCGTTCTACAATCATTATTTTCGTAATGTTAAAAGTCAATAATTTGTATTTAATCATGACGTGGACAACATTGATCTAGTTTACCTATCAGGAAGAGGAGGTTTTGGTGGTGGACTCGAATCCCTTAAAATAGATTCAGAACTATGCGAACTTCGAACAAGACTATTGTTGGCAGCGGTCTGTTCTAAGATCTCTCTTTCCCTTGGTGTTAAAGGTATATCCGGCAGCGAGTTCCTCTGAGGAGCAAGTTCCAATCCATAACCCGATGCACTGAATCAATATTTACCAATGACAAATCTCTACCATCGATAAAAGGAAAGATTTAACAACAAAAACAACAACAACAACTACATCCTACCGATTGTTAATCGTAATGCTAACAGGTTTCTGTCGGTTAGAAATCTTCTCATGAGCAAGGGAAACCAAATTCTTAACTGCTTCTTCGACCAAACCGATAATATGGGTAACATTTTCGGTATCCAAAGCAGAAGATTGATCGCCGTGTAACAAGACATCGTCGCAAAGTTTCAATAACTGAGCGAGTGCTTGATAAACTTGATTGGTTGCGGATCCTAGCGTGGAACTGTGAAAAAAAAGGAGAATGTAAGTTAATTATAGACAAAATTCTCAACAATTAAAAAAATATATATATATATATTTACCTATTTTCATAGAGAAGATAGGACTTGAGTACCGTGTGTATGGTAGTAACAGTGTCGAGAACCACTGTCCCATTACCTGGCAACATTTCCAATTTCTTTTTCGAGACAACATCCCGAAAATGCAGAAGAGCAAGCTGTACTTGTCTCACGTGGACATGCAAGTCTCGTAAAGGATTTTTTTCAAGACCAGCTGTATTATTACTATCCTTTCCTGACGATGACGACGATGTTCCACCTGTTCCAAGTCCAATTCCAGCAACTCCATTTTTATCACGCGGTGCTCGTGGCGATGAAGGTGAACTTGCTCGGCCGGCTCCTCCTACGACGCTCTCTGCGCCGCCTGCCCCTGTACCACCGCTACCCGGAGAACGCATGTGTGAAAGCTTCTCCAAAAAGTCCTCCTTAAAGGAGCGTGCTCGACGCGCGAGCTTACCGCCGCGCGCCTTTCCGTTTGAACGTTCCTCGTTGCTTTCTGTAATTTTATTTTTTTCTTTTTTAATTTATAGTTGTATAACAAAAGCCACCTTACTCTCTATTTCTCTGTATGTGTATCCGAAATAATTGTAAAGTTCTCATACCATTTTCAATGAATGCGCATCCTTTGTTTTTTCCTACTCTTTCAATAAAATTTACAATTCTTTTTTTGTATTTGATTTATGTTACTTGTCACTGATTAGTATAGTACACTATGGGTTTATATATATATATATATATATATATATATATATATATTGCGTTGTTAGTATTGTAACTATTATAATCAAGTTAGTAGTATCATTTACAAATGAAGCTTTGAAAAAATTAATTAATTAAGAAGTATGTCCTTTTTTTTATGGGTTATAAAAGATTGTTCTTTCTAATTCTTAGAAATGTTTACTCCAATCAGATAAAAAGTTTTACAAATAATTTCTTTTTATAGCGAATAATGGAACAAAGAAATGAAGAAAGAATGAAAACATCGTTGTATCTACGAGGAGGCTTTCGAAATAGCTTAAACACCGAAAGAGGATTATTCCAAGATGGTGCCTTCGGACAAGGAACTAAATTTAGTGTCGGAAGGCTGGAAGGAGCGACGAAAATACGATGAAATACTATGAAATACCAGAATGAAGAGAACATTCGAGTATATTTATAATATCTATTAGCATACTCAATTTCAACGATATTAAAAAAACGTATATTTTACTTTTAATCTTAACTAATTTCAATTGAAAAACCATGGTAATATCTTTTATATATATATATATATATATATATATATATATATATATATATATATATAATAAACAATTCTTTCCTATTCGTTCGACATTAAATTATATGTTCATTTTGATTGGTATAAAAAATATGAAATATTTATGAAGATAATCTTTCACAAAGAAAGAATTAAAACGGTAGAAAAGGAACGAATGGAAAGTTTAAAGTATAACTTTAAGAATCTGAGTCATCGTCAAAGATGATGCAGTAATCACGTCACGTTCAAAAAGGAATGCGAATAAACGATATCGATCCTTGAGAACTATGAATTTCATTAATATTAAATCAAAAATATATTCCAAAATACCTCAAAATCAAACAAAAATGTCTAATTAATATCATTCCAATTATTACTTTAAATTGAAATAATAGATTAATAAGAAAGATGAGAAAATTAGCGGGAAAAAGCCCGCCATTTTTCAAATCATTTTCTTTTCTTTTCCTTTTTTAATCAAAGAAGTTCGTGATATAAAAATTACGTCACTAAGTACCACTCACTTGAAGAAGAGAAAACCACAAATTTTCTTGTTTATGAGTAAACAGATAGATGATGAGGAAAAAAAAAATATATATATATGTATGTATGTATATATATATATATATGTCACGTGATTCAGGAGGGAAATACAAGACAAGAAACGTCCGGATAGTAAGGCGTGTGCGCATCGACTGCTTAACTAACTTGGCTCATCGGCCCCCGTCGGTTGTATCCCTTCACCCCACCCACAAACCGTCGTCACAAGCAATATAGTCCCTCACTTTCTCTCTCTCTTTTACGTGTCAGCGTCTATATGTTTCTTTCTTTCTTTCTTTCTTTCTTTATTTCTTCTTCGCACATCCATGTCATCACACATACACCACGCCTATTTTGCGTCTGTCATCCGATGCTTTTAAAGTGTGACGATAGTTCGGTTAAGGTTAAATACAAGACGCATTTGATATTCGAAGATAACGCATTGTATTTCTAAAGTGTCTGTCATTTTTAACATTTACGATAATAACATTTGTTTCTTTTTTTTTACTTTTACTTATTACTTGTAAAGTGGTTTTGACATCGTTCATTTTTATTGTGATATTACAACTTCATTTTTTGTTTTGACTCACGTAGTTAAAGAATTATAAAACAAAAAATATCAATTTATAATGTTAACATGGATATGTGTAACTATTTAATTCCAAATATATCTCTCACATAATTCATTCAAGATCGTTAACATTCTTTTATCATTTATTGCAATATTATAACATTAATTATTATTTTGATTTCGTTTATCTAATCATTCATACTTTTGATAGTAACTTTTTAGTATAACCTTAATTATAGGAAACTTGTGCAAACAAAAAAGTATATATTTTAAGGAGTTAAATTATCGATTACCTTGCGTACTGCAGATCGAAAGCGAATCAGAGAAATCGTTATTGAGATCGGTCACGGCCAACAACAAAGGTACAGACGTATTCTTGAACGATCTTGATTTCGTCGAGGATTTCTTTTGTACGAAATAAGTTCGTACACGTCGTCTGAAGATTGGCGAATCAAGAAAAGATTCGTCATATTGTGGCATATCTGATCGCGAATCAATTTCTTTTTATTTAATAATATCGAAGAAATGTTATGTCAAGTAAAAATATGACGTAATCATGATGTCGCCATCTTCCAAACCAACTATTATTTTCGATTAATCGAAAGGAAAAGAGAAAATATATGCTCAAAATAATCTCCGATATTACCAACATTTTCATAATCTTTCAAAAACATAACGATAAACTTTACAATATTTTTCTTGTTATTTCTTATTATTTATTCGTTAATGACCGTATATATGTCTACTCTCTAAGGGTCATACATAACATTATCTTAATTTTCAAGTAAATTTTCAAATTCGCACTATTATTCGATGATTTAAGAATGATAAGAGAGATCAAATTAAAAGGAAAATAAGGAAAAGAAGAAGATCGAATTAAAAGGAAAATATCAGACACTAATTGAAAAGAAGCAGGTCGATTTATAAATCAATATTAAACTTGTCGAACCGACGACGATGTACCGACTACGTGTGGAGATTGGGGACTGTTAATATCTCTGACTTTGGCCGGGAATAAAGCTTTGTCTATTTTAGCGGGTCAACCAACGAGAGTGAGCGAGCGAGCGAGCGAGCGAGCGAGAGAGAGAGAGAGAGAGAGAGAGAGAGAGAGAGAGAGAGAGAGAGAGAGAGAGAGAGAGAGAGAGATGAGAAAAGTGTGTGCGATAAGGTGGGGGTGTTGCGAGGGGCAGAAGCAACAGCAGCAGCAGCAACAGTAAGCTCGAGGAGGGTTGGGGAAAGAGGTTAACATACCCACTTGTTTCTTCCTTTTCATTAAATAAGAAAAAAGAAGGAACGAGAATGATCAAGGTGACTGAGAAAAAGATTAAGAATCTTCGAATGATTTATTCGTTGATCGAGAGATGAATCCAAGAAATGTATTTTAGGAAACTTGGGAAAAAATTAACTTAACCTATAAATACAAAAAAAAAATACGACGGGTCAATTTATTCGTATGAATTTCGTCAAAAACGATTTATTTATGGATCGATGGATGAATCATTAAAAAATTTATTTTCAAGAAAAAAGTTGACCTGACTCCTACATAAAAAGTAAAATATATATATATATACATATATATATAAAATAACATGACAGGTCAAATTATCCGTACGAATCGATCTAAATCCGTCCCTAAAGGTAAGAAGATATAACAATGAGGTGTAATAAAAGTTAGTAGGTTATCAAACATTTGATCGAACATCTCTTTCTCACGCATACATACATGAAATCTCTCGTAAATCAAAGCGCATATCAGTTTTGATAAGCTACATCTGTTAAAGTTCTTCGTTCGTGAATTAAACCTCCTATCCGCCGATAAAGTCTCTTATTCGTCATTGGTAAAAAAGAAAGGGGAAGAAAAGCAGAAAAAAGGTACGTAAAGAAAATACTAATCAAGGATGATCCATCTTGAAACCTATGTAACAAGTATCAGCCATGATTGCGAATATAATTCAAGATGTTTAAAAGAATATGGTCAATAATAAATTAGCTTGTAACCAAAGAACATATGTTTTTGACGTTTGAACAGAAAGAAGAGCGTTCTTAAATAATAATCTTAAAGCCCTTTTAAAATTCATTGTTTGAAGGAAGATCGAAAAGGGTGATTATAGATAAAGCGAATAGTGGTTTAGTTTATAAGGGCGTTACCATTTCAATCTGAAAAGAATTTTGGATTACGATCGAGAGAAGCAAAGTTATCCTTTAACGTAGAGTCTTCGATGTAAGTAAATGGGGATGCGAGGGAACTTGGGGGGAGGTGAAGGAGGGTTGCGCCGTCTTCGTCTGTCAAAAGATACATACGCGAGTTTCGCACGTAAGAGAAGGTAAAAAGTTGATCGAAGTGAGCTTACCTCCATGCTTGTCAGATTTTGGTGTGGAAGCCATCATAGTCGACCGTTCATTCGTATTTAAACGATATCACAGAGTCTCAACATTTTTGCAAACAGCCGCGTCGTGAGTTACGAAGCAGTGGCTGCCGCACTGTTTTCAGTCTGATATAAATCCGACTTGCACCGCTACATCTTCGTTCGTCGGCCATTTTTCAAGAGGCTCCAGGGGTAATAAACGCCATCTGCTGACGAATAATGATAAACTACGCCGACAAGATGGCCGACACAGTGTTCATCGCGGCGTACTGATCAGTGAACGTATTACTTTGAATCCTTCTACGTTTCTTACCGTGATAACGTGAGCTTATAAAAATTCTGAGGTACGAATCGTTTGCAATCAACTTCGCTCGTTTACAATCGTATAATATTTGTCTCGATAACTATTACGTATACGTTGTGTAGATCTTGAACCTGTCGTTCGACGCATCGACCGTCAAAGACGCCGCTCGCGAAAAGCTTGCGATGATAGGGCGGTGGCGCGATCGTCGTACATTCTTGCAAACAAGTTTTAACCGTGCTGTACCATAGTGCGTACACTCCAAATAGAAAATTCAAAGTTCTCTTTCGGACTTCTCTTATATACGGAAAGATATACGGCGGAAAAGAGCGCGTCATTCGAACGCGTAAAGAGTAACCGATTGGATTATTTCGAAGATGGGGAATATTGGACTGCAACAACATTACGAGACTGCCAAGAAGACGGGAGCACTGAGATTGTCGCAAAAGAAATTGGACGAATTTCCATCGAATCTACGTACATTGGCACATCTTTTACGTAACTTGGATATTTCGGAGAATAAATTTACTAGATTACCCGACGAGATCGGCGAGTTTACCTTGTTGAAACAAATCAATTTGAGTCGTAACAGGCTTACAACATTACCAGAGATCATTGGTCTTTTGTCGAAATTAGAATGTTTCAATGGAAGTTCGAATTACATAGAAAAGATACCGCGTTCCTTTTCAAAATTATCCCATTTGAAACAAGTCAATCTTTCTGACAATCGCATTATCGAATTCCCTTTAATGTTTTGCGATTTGAAACATCTCGACGTATTGGATCTGTCGAAGAATAAATTAACGATAATACCGGATGCTGCTTCCTTACTTTCGGTAACCGAATTAAATCTCAATCAAAATCAAATTTCTATTATATCGGATAGAATCGCCGAATGTTCGCGACTGAAAACTTTACGTCTAGAAGAAAACTGTTTACAATTGAACGCCATACCAACCAGGATATTGAAAGAGTCTAAAATATCGATGTTAGCGTTGACAGGGAATCTCTTCGAGATGAAACAATTCGCTGACGTTGAAGGATACGACGATTATATGGAGAGATATACAGCGGTGAAAAAGAAAATGTTTTAAACTCATCAAGATTACGAACACATCTCGTTGTCACATTAGAATTAATAGTAAACTCACATGCAGTTTCTCACGTACTTTTTCGATTCTATCCCTCCTCCTCTACGTCGTCAAATTTATCATCGTGTATATTCTTTAACGACTTTGTATATATATATATACACACACACACACACACACACACACATATATATATATTTGTACCTATTTCGTGCAAATTTTATGAAAAATAAATTATATCTTATATATTTATTTTTAATATGACCTAATGTATTATTAAACTATCCTTTACATGCGACGTATATTTCGTGTAAATCTTAATGAAATATTTGTTTGAGGTTTTCTACAATTATAGACATTATTTTTGATACTATTTTTCGAAAGTTATGGTTGAAGAAAATAATATCAAGAAAAATTCATTGAATACGTTATGGACGTGACTGTACCTCGATGTAGAGAGAATATACTGACTAATTTATAAAACAACTATGTATAAAAATTTATATGAAACTTTTGCAAATTTTCATATTGAAAATTAATATAATTCATAGATGATAATTATCGTATTAATTTTCACTCGTAATCGATAACTTTTTTAATTGTTTATATTATATCTGCATCGTGATACGATTACGAACAGCGATCAATCCTGTAGTCTGAACATTTTGGGCCCTGTTCTTTATAGGAGAAAAATGAAGTATTACAAGTACATATGCATATATATATTTTATATAAATATTTAAAAGATTATTTATTCAGTTTCAACGTTTGTGAAAAGTATTAGACAAAATATTTGGTTATAAATGAATACTTAAAAAATTTCTAATTAGAAATGTAGAAAAAAGTCATGATTAGTAAAAAAATAAAAATGGTGGAGGGTAGACATTTTAAAGGATACGATCCTATGACGTCCATGTCAACGCCGGTAGTGCATGCTTGACTAACGTAGTGTTTCAAGCAAGTGTTTCTTCCAAGATGGCGAACGTAGTTCGTTCGAATTTTCAAGTAACACAATGAAAAGGTATACCGAGCCTTATTCTCGGTTGTGATGTATTTCATCGAGGAAAATTCGTGTTGGTGATCCGACGTCCTCGGACGTCGCGCGTTGTCGCGCGTGACTCGCGTGGAAGTGATTACGGGCCGCCTGTGCGTGCCGCTCGTGCGTGCCGCCCGTGCGTGTCTCGTCGTTCATTTGCCACGAAAGAAGATAGAAGAAAAAAGAAAGGAAGGGAATAAATAAATAAAGAAATAAATCAACGACGGGAAAGAGTTGAGAACAACAACGTTGAAGCAACGATAAAAACAAAAAACAAAAAAGACAAGATTTACATAAAAAATTGCAAGAGGAAGAAGGGGGGAAGAAAATTAAAAAAAATATACATATAATAAAAAGAAAAAGTGAAAAGGGTGGTAGAAAGGAAGGAAGGAAGGAAGGAAGGAAGGAAGGAAGGAAGTAAAAGAACCGTAAAAAGAGGAAGCAAAGGAGAAATTGAAAAAAGACATAGATAGATAGATAGATAGATGGACGGATAGATAGTGTGAGAGAGGGAGAGGGAGAGAGAGAGAGAAAGAGAGAAAGAAAAAAATAAAGGAAGAAAGAAAGAAATATAAAAAAAAGGAAGAAAGGGAGAGAAGATAGAGAGGTTGGCTTTTTTATTCGCAGCAACGCGTGAGTACGCGTCGCCGTCTTTCGACGGGGGCGGATTGACCGTCTCTGTCGTTGCTGCTTTTGCTTCTGCTCCGCCTCCTGCTGCTGCTCTTGTATCGTATCGTATCGTATCGTATCGTATCGTATCGTATCGTATCGTATCGTCTTGTCTCGTCTCGTCTCTTCTCGTCTCGTCTCGTCTCGTCTCATCTCGTCTCGTCCCGTCTCGTCTCGTCTCGTCTCGTCTCGTCTAGTCTCGTCTGGTGTTTTATCGTTAACTTGAACGAGTCTCTCTATGACCGAACACATTTGCAAATACCTGACGCAAATTCGAAAATGAGGCAGGAACATTGCAAGTGATTTCTACCAGAGGAAAGCCCCGAGGTACGAAGATCCCCGTGCAGAATGGTGTGTGCAAATTCTTTTCGAGTATCGAAAACGTAACCTATTTGTTCTTTTCTTTTTCTTTCTCGTCATCTTTCTTTTTTTTTTCTTTTTCATCAGACCCACAAATCTTTTTTTTTTTTCTTTTTTTTTTCATTTATTTATTTATTTATTTATTTATTTATTTATTTATTTATTTCTTTTT